GAACTGCCTTCCATAAGGATCTTCAATTCGGTTAACGAAAAAAAATTCGGTTAACGAAGTTCTTACGAACCGACCTCAACATGTTTTCGCTTGCACTGACTGGGCAACCAGCTTTAGTATCAGTCCGCCAATACATTAATCGGTTCTAGGGCTTAAATTCCTTACTATTTTAGTAAATATCAAGAAGTTTATACTATTCAATAATTTTAAAAGTTTAATATTCAATTTTTTAGTCATTTTAACAATTGTTGAACATAATTGAAGGTAAAGTGACTAGTTTAATGCGCGGCATCCAGCCTCTTAACACAGCAAACAGGAGTTAGTCTCTCTCTGTTTTCACTGGAGGTAACATCTTGCTTGAGACTCTCTTCAACTAAACGCTTTTTTTGTGTGTTTCCAAGCAAATTATTGGTCATTTTGAAATATATTTTACATATTGACAATATATAATGCAGTGCAGTGTTGATTTAAAGAAAATAATCTTGAATTACACCAGAGAGCTAAAATTTTATGGGTGAAATGGCGCCATGGGGTGACTTCTCTTCCACCCCAATGCCTTCTCTTCTTCCTTATCCTCCACCCCCATTCTAAATCCCATCATCATCATCATCATCCAGGAGCCTTCTACATACACACCTCAAAGTAAGTGAACTTTTCTACCATTTTTGTTGAATTTAGGAAATTTTCTGTGAGCTGGAACCAATTACCCAAAAACCCATTGAAACAATGGTTTCGGTTAACGAACTTTTCGGTTAACGAACTTTTCGGTTAACGAACGACCTTCTGGAACGGATTGAGTTCGTTAACGGAGGGGTCACTGTACCTGTATAGAGAGCGAAGAAAATAAATTAAGCGAGATAGTACGAGTGACTAGTAACAATGATAATTACAAACAAATAGACAAACTAAAGCCTAATAAGCCACCAGGTCCCGACAAGATATTTGCCAGAGTATTAAAGGAATGTAAGGAAGAGCTTAGTATGCCCTCAGCAAATTTGTTTAACATGTTATTAAAAATGGGTGTAGTACCAGAATCCTGGAGGATAGAGAATGTAATACCGAATTTCAGGAAGGGAGATAGATCACTATCCTCTAACTACCGTCCAATCAGTTTAACATCAATTGTAGGCAAATTGCTGGAAGCAATAATTTCAAACTCTATTCGAAATCACCTGGAGAAGCAAAAGTTGATCAATGATTCCCAACATGGCTTCACAAGTGGGCAATCATGTCTGACAAATCTACTAACATTCTTCATAACTTCTTTCAAATCAGTGGATGACAGATACGATTATGATGTGGTTTACCTCAACTTTAGCAAAGCCTTCGACAGAGTCCCCCATGAGAGACTAATACTAAAAGTGGAGGCTCGCAGAATTGGAGAAGATATTATAAAATGGATTAGGGCATGGTTACAGGACAGGAAACAGTGAGTAAGCATTAACGGCACTAAATCCGATTGGGGTAACGTCATTAGTGGAGTACCCCGAGGCTCAGTACTTGGACCATTACTATTTATTTTACAATATACAACATAAACGACAGATATAGGCGTTGATAGCACCATAAGTAAATTTGCTGACAACACTAAAATAGGGCATGTAATTAAATCTTATGAGGACTCCACAAAACTACAGGAAGATCTAAACAAATTTAATGTGGACAAATCTAAAGTACTTAGTCTAGGAAATGTAAACAGAGAAACAAGATATCAGATGAACAACATTGTTGTAGAGAAATTCGACTCTGAGAAAGACTTTGGAGTAATTATAAGTAGGAATCTTAAACCAAGACAATGCATATTAGCTCAAAACAAGGCTAACAAAGTACTTGGGTTCTACAAAGGAGATTTAGTTACAAGACTAGCGAAGTTATCCTAAAACTATATCTTGCGCTCGTGAGACCTCACTGGATTACCCAGTTCAGTTCTGGTCACCGAACTACAGGATGGATATAGAATCCCGAGAAAAAATTCAGAAGAGAATGACAAAACTAATCCTGGACATTAGGAACCTTGAGTACAGAGACAGGTTAACGCATCTTAATTTGCACTCCCTCGAGGGACGTAGAGTGAGGGGCAATATGATTCAGGTGTATAAATGGAAGTCAGGGCTAAACAAAGATGATATAACAAAGGTACTCAAACTATCCAACCAGAAGTAAACTTGTAGCAATGGTTTTAAATAAGACAAATTTAGATTTTGGCACAATAGGTAAACATTGGTTTGGAAATAGAGTAGTGGATGAGTGGAATTAGTTATCAATCATCATTAACTCGAATATGCTGGATAGCTTCAAATACAGTACAGTATAGGTTGGATGGATATACGAGCGATAGGGGTTGGGTGTAAACAGTACTGCCTGGTATGGGCCAATTGGCCTGCTGCAGTTTCCTCCATTCTTATGGGGTGTGCCCATTTTGTCACCAACCCGTTTTGTCACCATATCTTTCACCCATTTCATCACCACTTTTTTTACCCGTTTTGTCACCGCATTCATTCCTATCACCATTTTAATACGCCTGCAATCATCTCACTTAAACAATATGTAAAAAACTAATATTATTTATTTATTTTTTTTTTATTTATTTTTTTTTTTTAGGAAATTAGAAGAGGTGATATATTTTTCTTCCAACAGATATTCGTCCCACAGCTTCCAGAGACGGACTTGTTTGTCATGATTTCCTTTTGTTGTGCACGATTTCAGCTTGTACTCAACAAAAAGAGGGACAAGGAAATATAGAGCGAGATTGTTCTTTGCTGCTCGGGGGTTTATGTGCTAGTGCCAGCCCTGAACACCATTATTTGTTCTAAACAGAAGTCGGAAACAACACCAATTACCGATTGACCAGACAATGTTGTTAAGCCATGTTTGGCTCATATAATCAGTGAGTTACTTGACGAGTTCTGACTGTTGTGCTTTTTCTTATAGTTTTTCAAATGCTGGTCTGGTGTTGTGTTGTGTTTGGGCAAGTAGGGGAGAGCTAGGAGTTTACGCACAAGATCTTATACTGGGCCATGTTCCATATATGCAGTTAGTCACGTGACAATTTCAACCAGTCTTATCACCAATGTAAAATGCAATTAAAATGCGCATTAGTTATCTATTTGCTAGTAGTAGTCACTAATAACTATTTTTGTTAACATGCAACAGGTTATGTGGCCTGGTAAAACTGCATATCAAGGCATATCAAAAAGATCAAATAATCAAAAAGCTGTTAATTAACCCCCAATCATTTCCATCGAGTGGTTTGCTTGACAATTGCCCGTTGTTTACAGAAATCACCTGACAGTCTGACCGCAACCCGCGCTGAAGGTGGTGAAGAAAAAGAAGAAATCACCTTCATTTGTTCTGTATTTTGTTTATTTACCATTGTTTAAATAATTTTCTTTATTAGTTTTCTTTATTAAATAATTAATATTCATGTATAATAATAACACAATAATTCTCGAAGCATCTGTAAACATGTGTAATTTCTATTCGTGTAAAATAATAACGTACAATTTCTCACTCTAATACCCGAGAATGTTTCATCACCTGACCGTCAGTGGTGACGAAACGGATTTGGCATTGGTAACAAATTTTTTTTTTTTACGACGAAATGGGTTTTTGTTGATGAACCGGGTTGGTGACAAAATGGGGTGTATACGTTCTTCTATGTAGCTATGCAAGCATTGTTTGAATTTTTACAATTTAAAATAAAATCATCTACATTTTTTAAACATGAATTCTGTTATTTCCTAAGTAATGAATTCTAGACAAACATTAACCAAGGTACCATTATAAACACAATATAGTACTGCAGCTACAAGTATAATAGTGAAAGTTTTATTGAAATATAAATTTTTAGGTCATGAAGGAAAACTTGGATATTATCTTAAAAAAATTAATGACAATGAAACTGAACCCTGTGACCAATTTAATTGCATGGTAATTATATACATAACCTGCTGTGAACATTTGTTATATATTGCACTTTTATTGGGAAAACTTTACTTCACTCTGTATCAGTAGTTCAAATATGTATACTCTGTACCTGTATATCCTTTTACAAGGTGGTTCGATCTATAAGATAATGCAAGATGTGAGGAGGAAAGGTTATAATATACATTGCCATAGCAAAAGTAGGGGGGCGGATAATGACAGGAATGAGAATCACAGTGCTTATTTGGCCTTACAATCACTTGTCATCACTGGACACACTGATACTTACCATGATTCCTAGGTATTCGGGCTCTTTTGCTAGCACCCACAATCAGGATACTGTCGACACAGATAGTGAAAACTGAGTATGTGAGGGAAACACTGAGTCGTCACTTGCCTCTGCCAGCTAGGGGTGTCTTTCTTTGTCACACGGCTACCAACACTTAACACACTGGGGAAAACATTGCCTTTAAAGTTAAAATAACCGAGACTACCAAGATGTGAAACATTGTAATTTATCGCCTGTATAAAATAATTTGCACTGTATTCATATTATTTAGGAATTGTGATACAGAACATATTAAATTCCAAATCCTATTTCGGGCGTAATAATACGTACGCAATCAATTTTAATTTTTGCAAAATATATAATGTGAAACGTAACTAGTTTCATAATTACTAAATCATACTAGAAAATAATTATATAATTACTGGCGAAAAGAGATTATGCTGGGGTCATCATAAAATTATCCTTAAAATCTGATGATTTTAGTTACCAATCTGTATCTATTATATGCTCTTAGCGGTACTTATTAAATATTCTTTATCAAAAGCTGACACTCAATAAAGTTACAAAGATAATAGTAACATAATAGTGACATCATTATTCTCTTTGCTGTAGTATATATATTATATTCTGTATAATAGATCAAGATTATAACTTCCCACTCCCATTTATATATTGAGTCCATTATGAACTATATTTTAATCTTGAAAAAACCTACAAACATGTCACTTAATTGGAATATTATTGAGGTAAAACACGTCAAGTTATATTAACTGAGAGGCACCGGTTGGCAGCCGTGTGTGAGGTAAACATGTCGGCTCATCAGCTGGGGAACAATTCGAATATGACGTCCAGCATGAATTAGAAAATGAAGAAAGTGAGGACAGAGAAAGTAATGGCTAATGTCAATGACTATTTAAAGAGGAGAAATTTGGAGGTATGTAGTAAAGGTTATGTACACCCAGTTGCCCTAAACATGTGTATCTGTGTTGAAATATAGTCCTCCTTGAACACATGATCAGTAGAAACTTGAAAAAATTGGGAATTGCATTTTCTTTCTATAATTTAACTAATAATGTGTTTTATTCACGTCATCAGTGTTACTTAGATTGTATTTAATCTTTCCAAAATTAAAGAGAAGTCCTTGACAATGTGTGTCAAAAGGGAAAGCTTTTTACATGAATATCCTTCAGAACCATGTTATTAATGTACATATCTGATGTACAGTATATCTTAAACATTATAAACTGCTCATATTTAAGTAAATGTTCAGTTTAGCCCTTTTTTATTGCAGCAATAGTTTACAGGTAAAATTCCTGGTAATTATTCGTAACATCACCGTCCGCTGTTTTTCATTGAAGATGGGTTTAAAAATACCCAGTTTTCAGTGATTTAATAGAAGATACTGTATTATATTGGGGAAAAATATTAAAAATGTATGGGTCAGTTTAGTATAGTAGCTAAGTTTCGGTTAGGTTAGGGCGGTTACCACCAGAAATCATGTGCTAACCTAACATAACCCAACCCAACCCAACCCGTATCTTAACTCACCTATATGATATCTAGAAAACGAGGTAAAATTTAAGTTTCTGTCTTTCCTGTACAGTATTTAGATATCCAAAATAACATGTAACCTAACCGATTCCTTGGACGACCGAAACTAAATTAATACCAAAAACTAAGCATGTACACAATAAAATTAATATAACTGAAAGTAATCAGCGTACAAAACTGTGTCTAAAAACACCCTCATAATTACCAAACTGCTGACAGCCACGTCTCGTATATCACAGCTGATGAAATGACTGTAACAGTGCTATCCTAACTCACCTATATCTAGAAAACTAAGCATTTGCCCAAGAAAATTAATAGAAGTGAAAGTAATCAATTTACAAAACTGTGTCTAAAAACACTCCCATAATTACCGAACCGGTGACAGTCACATGTAGTACCGTATATTAATCAGATTCCAGTAGAAGTCTGCTAGCAGTAAATTTACAAGAAACTTGTCTTAAAATCTAAAGTTATACAGGATTTCATAGTGCAGTAATTGAGAAAAAGTGGGCAAGGTGTATTTCAGGGTCGCCTTCCTTGAAAATGTTCTATTTTACTCAAGATTTTCATTAAAACATTTGTTGAAATGTATATAATGAAATTCTGTTGGTGGAGTAATAATTTTCATTATAATGTAATAATAATAATGTTTGGTAAAGGTGGAGTAGACAGCTAACACCAGAAGGAGTTATTCAATTTCGTTATTTTTTCCAAAGATGTTCTTTGAATGATAGTAGGTAATAAAACCAACCTAGCCAGAGAAACTGACCTAACCTTACCTAACTTCCAAGCCTGGTGGTGGGTCCCTGTCATATTAAACAGAAAGAACTTAATTTGATATCTGGTAATAATGAAAGCAACTTTTTTGAAGTGCTATGGTGTAATTTTACGTTTTTTTTTTGTGGACGTTACAGTACGCTCGGACCAAGCGCCTCGGTTGTCGCACTGAAACAAACAAAGTGCAGAGGACAACACTCACCCACATGGCAAATTTTTTTGGCAGAATATTTATGGTAAAAAATTTGTTTCTTTACGTACAAAAAAGTAGACATCATTTTGGTGTCATATAATCATTTTTTTTTTGCAATGTTTTATCCTGCAATTTCCCTCATCCATCATACCCTGCTGCTATAGGTGATTTATGATCGTAAATTGATAAAAAGTAAAAAATATAATATTTATAATTAAAATAAAATGTTGTCGTTTTGGATTTATTACTTACAATAATCCAAAGAACATCTGGTGTTAGCCGTCTGCTCCACTATTACCTAATGTTTATTCAGTAAAATTGTCATACAAGTTTACAATTTGGATACCCCAAGTAACCATGTTTGTAAACTATGCAGTAATACAGTTCAGCATGATTATAGACAATGTAGGTACAGGTATTCAGTGCATGAAGGCCGTGGGAATATACAGTTTCCTGTGGTCCGAGACAGTGCAGGTAAACAACAATGGTAAACAGTAAGGCAACTGTCAGCTGCTTATTTCCAGGAGGAAAAAGTGTCTGTAAATTCATTTAACTCTTTTGCGACAATTCTCAAACTTTATTCTATCGACTGCTTATACAATTTTATTCAATTTAGGGATACCCGTAGCAGCCAAATGGTTAATACCCCTTGCAACAATTCCCGCATTTTAGGATTTTATTCTGGCTACCACCAGGCAATTTTATTCAACTAACCAAACTTCCAGCAGCCAAAATGTTAAGAAACATGAGAGGCTATGTGCCACTCTACCTTTGGCACCAGAACAAATTGGTAAGAATAGTGATAATATTTAAAAATGCTTGTGCAGGGAAAGCAGCAACTTTAGAATATTTTTCTATTGATGACAATTTCATACCTCAAATAAAAATCCCGCAAAATGGCAAGGAACTGCAATTTTCATATCATTATTTATGTCATGAACATAACCTGTGTCTACTCACAATGTCCTGCTGATACCATTTTCGTTGTTTACATGACTACCGGTACATGAATGTTTGCCAGTGACTATTCCATGTACAATAGTACTTTCAGCTACATTATATCATTTATCTGAAATAAGATGAGCCTACAGTACTTTATCTTCCTGTCCTAGGCTGGAAGTACAGTAGTACATACATTATATTATTAGGTAAGTTTAGGTTAGACATGTTGACAATTCATAAGGAAAGGCCACTGGGAAGTGTTCAATCACGTAGCATTTGATTACTTGCTGGGGGGCATTTGTCATTAAATCGAGTGCCAGAAATGTTGTTGGCTATATACTCACTCCAAAATATATCTTTACGATATTGTGTAAGAAAATATGACACAACGGACGAGGGATTTTGACAACCCTGCTGAGGCAACAGGAGTTGCATTGATTACTTTGAAATTCATTGGACCCCTCCATAATGATACCTTTTGGAGTGAGTGTATGTGATAAAGGAAAGTTCATTATTTATAACAAAAATATAATTTTTTTTAATTCTTTGTCATTTCAAGATAAGAAAGAAGATGCTTTTATTAGAAAAATCTAAGTTTATGATTTATTTCCACAAGCATTCCAAAGTATTACCCAGGTGATTATCTCATTTTATCTCTGCCAGAACTTTATTTCTAAATTAATTGTGAACTACAGTAACACTGGTACCTCTATTAATGAATTACAGTATCTGGAAATGAAGCTTCTTTATACCAAAGCTTGCAAAATATAATCTAACAATTAATTTTTAAAGATATTGAAAATACATTTTTTTAAATTTATGACTCCCCGAGTTCTATTGCTCCATCAGTCACCTTGAGTCTGAACAAGGGTGTTATGTTTTGTTAAATTGTTTTGAAATAATGTCATCAGGCAATCAAAACATTTTTATTTGTGTTTAATGATGTTTTCTTATTGTATCCCCTTTTCTTAAGTCCTGACATATATTCCTATGCCTCCTGTTATATCTACAGTACCTCTGTTAACGAAGTTTCTGACTCTGAAGTGAAGTCATAGAATGCATCCACTTCTTTGACAGAGGTATTACTGTACAAGGTACTTGAATATTTTAGTATGATTCCCATATCACACATTAATTGAAGACCTTAATCTGTTACTCGGCCATAACAGTCTACAGTATGTACACCCACTAAAAAAATTATTCGGCACCCTTACGGCGTGATACAATATGACACGGGTCCCGAATAATTTTTTAGTGGGTGTACATTACCATTGGAGGTATTAATTAAATTTATTTTTACCCAGCAGAGTGTAACATCAGGAGGAACAATTACAGAACAGCAAGCAGGAGTGTTAGGACTTGTTTCTCCCTCTACTCCTAATAGCTTCACTTTTTCCACCACCTCAACACACCATTCACATATTGATCATCAGTATGTCAGGTGAGTCCTTTTCTTTGTAGCATTTGTTTTTGTTTTCAGGTAATTTCTTATGCATTTTTAATATACGTACTGTATTTATGTTTGGTACAGGATTTCAGTACTAATCTGTAAGATTATCAGTCACTGCAATATATGTCACTTGTATCTTACTAGTCTAATAGAAATAGAAAGGTTTGAGGAAGCAACAAGTGCTAAATTAAACTGAGATAAAACAAGTATATTATGGGCTTGGGTGAGTGTAAAAAAAGAGAATTATGTGGATGAAGTCAGTAGAATATACCAAAGTATAAGGTATTATATACTGTACTATGACAGTTATGAACACACTGTACAGATGAATTAGGATAAAATCTTGAAAAGTATCACCATAACCTTTAATTGTTTATCAAACCAGAAAGTATCTTTGTACCAAAAAGCAATTATTTTTAACTCAAAAGTTTTAACTAAGGTGTGGTACCTTTCCCGTACATTTTCATTAAGTAAAATGTATTCACAGAAAATTATTATTATTATTATTATTATTATTATTATTATTATTATTATTATTATTATTATTATTATAATAATAATAATAATAATAATAATAACAATAATAATAATAATAATAATGATAATAATAATAAATATAATTTCACCCTCAGGTCCCGATGTGGGTCAGTGACCTGTGCCCTAGTAGGCTAATCCTGAGAGAGAGAAAAAAAAAAATAATATATATATATATATATATATATATATATATATATATATATATATATATATATATATATATATATATATAATAATAATAATAATAATAATAATAATTGCCGTATGTTGTTTGTAAAGCAACTTCTATAATATGTACAACATTCATAAGTAATGCTTCAGACCATGAAAAAGGAAAACTTTTAACTCCATATTATACAAATACAGTACCCCTGCATAAGAACCAGTTGTTTATTAAAATGTTTCCCACATGTTTTCACCTTATAGTAATGCAATTGATACCTTAAGAAAGATGGCAAGGCATGAACACTTTCCCAATGCTAGGAGTAAATAGGGTTGAACCAATTAATCAGTAATTGGCCTTTTGACCGATTAATCGGGCCGATTATTGGAAGTTTAGTATCTCTGTAATTTTATATTTACCAGTACGTATAAGGTATTAATGTCAGTATGGTGATCTAGTCAAAACTCTGATGTCTCTCCAAAGCTTTTATATTAGTTTCATGTGCTCCTTCTATTTATTTTTACTCCATTTTCCATATTATGGAACATATTAAAAATATAGACAGACAGAAAACAATGAAAATAAGAAAACAAATTCTTTCATCATCTTTTACTTTTCATAAAAACAAACAAAAAACTTTTACATTCAAGCCCTTTACTGACGTTGTATATCTGGTTTACCTGACTTGGACCAAAAATATTTTGTTACCCCATTGATATCAGACAAAGAATCAATCATGATTATTCAACCAAAGTAACATAAAATTCAACTTTAAATTTATTTTATAGTATTCTACATAAATATTGCTGCAACTCTAAATTTAGAAAATTAGACAAAATTGTCTTTTATTGCAATCAAGAAATGTGAAATATTTCAACTTATATATTACAGCACATAATCATTTAATCTATACGTCTACATAGGCTAAAAAAAATCAGATTTCAGGCTAAGGCTGATGATCATACGGTGTTGGTGTGTCATGTTTTCTTGCAAGTGCATGTTCAGGCAAGCTCGGGATATGTCTTTGTGCGACTTAGAAACCAAAATACAAATACCACCAACACATATGTATTTTTTATTAGAATTAAAAAATAAAAAGCGGTATAGTATTTTAAGTAAATACTGTACAAACTATAATTATATTTAGACACTGAGGTCCCAAACAAACTGTTACTGAGAAGTTAGGATAGGGCTTGAGAGGACAGGTACATTTTTTCACACTACCATTTCTGTTAGCATCTAGAATGACCACAAAAAACAAGAGAAATGGGAATTTCTAACAAATTACAACCAGGATGTACAGAATGAGATGTTGCAAATTACAACTACACAAAACTAGACTTTATAAGGGTGGGAAATCACTAAAACCATTTGCTCCCTATATAGGAGATGGCAGGTGGGTAGCAAAACTAAGTCGAAAATAACATTAGGGTGATGTCTTTAACTTTGTGGTACAAATAATTTCATGAAGATTAATCAGATTTAAAATTCTTAATAATCAGCCGATTATTGACCACTGATTAATCAGTAATCGGCCCAACCCTAAGAGTAAAGATGTATACAGTACAATGTATACAATATGTAAATGACATGGCCTAAACCAACAGTTGAAGAAAAGTATCCGCTGTTTAAATGGTCTTTTATTTGGAAAAATATTACATATAAATATATAGATCCTCACCAGAGAGGCTTCATATTGTATACATGTACTATAGGTATACAGGGTATTCATGAAAATTTAGCAACTAATCAGAGACTAAAAGTATTAAACATAAATTAAGATGTTGTATGAAATGTGTTGAGGTAGAATATCCACTACATAATTATACAGTACGTACAGTATTTTACTTCTGCTTCCATAGTAAAGAGATATTTAAATGTTTAAAAATACAATATCCTGAATACAGTCTGCAATGTTAATATCAAATCATTTCTGCATATTAACTGTAGTAATAGTAAGGATAAGAATACAGGTAGTCCCCGACTTACGACCGACTCGACTTACGTCCACCCGCACTTACGACCGCCTCAGTTGTACCAAAATGTGGTCAAATTATGTATTTTTGAGTCCCAAAGTCAGTACAAAGACAAAATTTTCATCTGTAATTCACTTTAAAATGACTGGCAAGTGTAAAAGTGAGTGTTTTGTGGTGCTTAGAAGAAAAAGAGACCCAAATTTTCGATTTTCTATGTGTTATTTAAGCATTTCCGACTTACGACCATTTCGACTTACGACCTGGATGTCGGTCCCTAACCCCGTCGTAAGTCAGGGAGTACCTGTACAGTGATCATGCTAATGTCAGATTATATTTACTGTATGAGGATTAGTAGAAAGGAAAATTACGTTGTTGGTGAGATTATAGCCTTTATTAAAAGCAGAATGTTATTATTAGTGGATGATCAAATGTACAGTACTGTACAGTATATAGGGGTCAAAACTTAGTGTACAACTAAATGATGTGATAAATTCAGAGCAATAATACTAGTCTTCATATGGTTTCTTCAGGCTCAAGTCATGGATGATGGAGGCAAGTGAACCTTGTCGGTCAGAATTGTCACAAGTGTTGTTCCCACTCTTCATCCACCTGTACTTAGAGCTAGTAGCTGGCACAGGACGGCAAGTTGCCAAAAAGTTTTTCATAAAGCACTACCAGGTGAGGGGGTTCCCTTTAAGTTTTTAATAGGAATGTAGTTTTTAACAGTATTTTGGTTGCCCACCTATCATATTGTGAGTAAAGAAACAATACAGTATTCATCTCTCATAGAAGAACAAAAGTTAGTAATGAGTGATCTCTAAATAACTACTGAATTGTGCCACACCACCAATTTTCCTCACTTTGCAATCCTTCCTACTATAACTCTTAATATATCTTCATAATGGTGTCAATGGTATCCACTACAATGGTGTCAGAAGGACCCATTATAATGGTGCCAAAAGCAGTCATTACAAGTTATGTCCTCATTATCAGGTGCTATAGTGTTTTTTGGGCTATCTGCCTCAGTCACACTCTGGGATAGATTTATATTAAAAGTCATATATACATATATAGGGGTCACTTAGACAAGATGTGAGTAATACTAGTACTTCAGGCTAAGTATGCAAGTGAACTTGTCAGAATTGTCACAAGTTTGTAGTACTTAGAGCTAGTAGCTTTGTTTTGCACTTTTCCCTTTAAGAATCTATTTTGCCCACCTATCATACCAGTCAATAGAAGAACAAAAGGTCTCTATGAATTGTGTCACAGGTGTCAATCTGGTGTCAGAAGGGGTGGCAGGGGTGCTATACTATCTGGTTACATTGGACAGGAGAGTACATGCTGCTGCAGATGTAGTTTCTTCTCATAATTACAACAAGATCTTAATCCAGGTTATTGCAAATGGCCTCATTCTACCTATTTTCAGGAAAAGAAAAACTATTAGGTATTTCCCTCCCCAGTTAGTGAGAATGTAGTGTGGTTGATGGAGTGCATTTTTTCATCTACGGTATATTTCTTCTGAATAAAGTCCTCTGAGATTTCCCAAATGAAATATTAAAAGTGGCATCCTCTGAGTGAACAGGTTAACATGCATGGGTTTAATGATGTTGTTTCACCCTGTGAGTGAGAACAAAATAAAATAAATAAGTTGAAAATGTACATAGGTCGAAATACATACCCAATGTGCATACTGTACTTAGATAATTTTTTTTTAAATCCCACTGTATCATAGCCTGAGTCCTTATATACTGTACATCTAAAATCACTTAATTTAAGAGAAAAGATGAAATAGAATGACAAAATACAATAAATGAAAGTAAAAAATAAATCATCAGGTAAAGGTAGTAGGCAGTTATCAAACAGAGAGGTACAACCACCTGGGCAGATATTGGAAGCATAATGTGTTGTCTAATGTGCCTGGGTGGGCTAATCCCCATTAAAAAAAATGTAACTTTACAGTATATTTTTATGGGACCTCGTCCGTATAGGCGTATGTTCATAAGTTGATTGTATGCAACCTGGGGATCTCCTGTACAGTATACTGTATATCCATGAGTGTTTAGAGTTGTCCAATTCGCCATTTATGTCATCTGCATCATACTTTACTCCAGTAGTTTTCACCTATGTTGTTATGGCTTATGACCATACATTCATTTAATGAACCCTTCTTTAATTTATTATACATTTGTATTTATCTTATTCCTGTTTTCATTTATATACTCAGAAGCATACCCTGTATTTAATAATGCTTCCTGTACTCCATATTCTTTACATTTATGTATGAAAATTACTCCACCCTAGCTTTCCCTACTCTCTACAGTAATGCTAACTACTCTTGGTGCCAGATCATACTTGTGTTTCCTTAAGGCAGTCCCACCTCCTCCTTCATTACTTTTACTTTTCTTTTATGACACTATTCAATCTAACATGACTTAAATAATTCAGTTTCACATCACTCTCTCTCTTCTGTAACTTTTAGCTGTTATTCAAAATATATTCTCCTTCTTCTTTCTGTTTTATGCAGTGTATATCCTCTTTCTTTCTTTTTTTCTCCAAAAATGTGGCCTCCAGCCTCCCCGAATAGCCACACCTTCGCCCCCATTTTATTACCTTAAAATTAAATACAGTATCCTAATTCAAAAGTAACCACCCCAGCTGTGTTGAGTTAGTTGAGCTGCAGATCTATGAGGCATTCAGTGACTGTTGCCTCATTACTATTACAGTATTTCCATTGTTTTCTATAAAACCTTTTAATTACTGGCAGACCCCAATTTTTGTTGCCCTGTTATACCAATTTTCGAAGTCATGATCTTTCTTTTTTTCTTTTGCTCCCTTACTAATGAAACAACCCCAGAGTTACAAAAGGTTTTTCAGGAAAGTAACTCCTTCATAAATCAGGGTCTGCCTGCCGTATACTAACTGGATCATCTTTCTTTCATATTGCCGTTAGGACTATGGTAATCTTTTACATAATTTTGTAATGAAATGTTATTCTTCCACAGGTGTTCTTAGTGAACCGAGACTATGAAAACACATTGTCACAAGTTTTAAGTGCTGCAAACATAAGTACATCTGGGGATATGAACTCTTCTCCAATCATTCAGAATCTCAAGTAAGTATTTTTTTTTTATTCTTTGTTAAGCTGGCCTTCATAACTAAGCATCTGTATGTGTAATTATCTACCTCATATCAGTAGAAGAGAATATTGTCACTTTGTTAATAGTTTCAGATACAGTATCAAGCTTTGTAAATATTTCATTATTTTTATTAATGTGTGAGTACAGTATGTGCTGTACGATGACAATACACTTCTTCACTGCATATACAGTATGGCTAATATTGTCTTGTCTCATCATCTGCCCTTATTTTTCCACCTCTTTCTTGTTTCCTGTTTCCCTCACCAATGGTTGTCCCACATTATTGTCAATCAGCTTTCCCTTTGCGGACTTTAAAGGCCATATATGTTGCTATAATTAAAAAATATCAGTCATTTCAGTGTTTTGGGGGAAAATTATATGGAAATATCCCTAAAATCCAATTAAATGCCCCAAGTAGGCACATAATTTCATAGATCAACTTCTACCAGGGCCTTCAATTACCTAAAATTTAAGAGTGTAGGAGCTCTTGGTCCAAATTTCCAGGAGTTCCACTAAATCCTAAAGAGTACCAGGGTTCCAGATTAACCTTTTGGTTATACTTCAGTGGGGTTAGTATGAGGGCATAAAGTAATACCTACTAGATGACAAGCCTGCTAACTTTATGCTTTATACAAGGGTTTATTTTTACTTGCTATGGTTTTGAAACCCTTCGCCCAATTACAGTATAATGACTATGGTTTTAGTTTGAGGAAGAACCACAAAATGCAGTATTTTAATAGAAAGAATGTCATCCCTCATATTTCATTATAATTTATAACCCATCAAAGCCAATGAGTACTTAACTTAAAAATAAAAGTATATAACAGCAATGCATTTATACTTGTATAGAACAGTACTGTACTCACAACTCGCCCCACTGAGCCTGTCCTCTTTATACACAAAGTAAATGGCTAGTGCCCATTTTTCTCTTAAAAGAGAATATGATGATACTGTATAAATATACTACCTGAAGATTAATTGCCTTGATGAACTTAGAGAGGGGAAAGGTCATTCTGGTACAGTACTATATGGTGGTTTTCCAATGTGAGAGCAGATGCAAAAGTACTATGTACTATAGAACTATCTGAAGCTTTGTACATCTGTTTTATTTCACTTTAGAAAGCATGTTTAAGGTTACCAAGTAAAATATCATCATAAAAATAATTATAATAGTGATAGGATTTACAATAAATTTCATGTTAATATAAATTTTCACATTACGAGTACTACATACCATTTTCTCCTTTAATACATGGTGGTTAGCATAAAAACAAATGCAGACTTTCTCCACTTTTTATGCCATTCATTTACAGTACAGGGTACTCTTACTACTAAAGCAAATGTATTCTGCTTTAGTTTTTTTTTTTTCCATATCAAGGCTCCAATATATAAATCAGGGATTTTGCTATTGCTTCACACAACCTAGCATTACTAATCAGCAGTGCATCCATTGTCATTAACCACTCGATAGTAATAACATACATGTATGTGTTTGTTACAGGAGTGGCAAGTATCTGGTCCGGCTGAGTGAGCTGACTCTGGAGTACTTCTTGCGATACCTCAAAGCCACCGAGAACCCGATTTTGCTACAGGTGCTCCATTTGTGTGTTTGTTTGGTGCTTCACCTGTTCAGTGTTATCATCATCACTGTTTTACATACCCTTTTCCATGCTTGCATGGAATAGCTGTGATTATCTTATGGCATGGTGTCCTGGTTGCCATCAGGCAAATTTGGAGCAACTTTTATTGCTTGATGCCTTTCCGATCACCCACACACTTTTAATGAGTGGGAACTGGGCATTATATGTAGGACTTTCAAGAGCCCTTTTAGCTAGCAAGACCTGATGATGCCCTCTTAATTCTTGGTTATTATCAAGGCACAACTTTTTTATGATAAAAAGACAGCTTAGTGTGGCTATCATGTTGTAACATCTCACAGGAGTGCAGCATTGTCACACTGACCAGTCTTCACAGCATTGAGCAGGAACACTGAGACTTAATGAATATAGTACTGCAGCACTGAATTACACAGAAAGTTGGCCAACAGAGTACAGGTGAATTACAAGAGCAGTTAACAAGAATCAGAGACTTGGACTGGATCAGGTGCCTAGAGGGAGCCTACAGTATATAGGACTTAACTGTGACATCCAGAACCATATGCTCTGGCAGGTAATGGGTCACTGTTGTGCACTGTTCATAATAGATATTACTGTAGTAAGCTGCTGTCAACTTGTCGACCATCTGTTAAGGTATCACAAGATCAACAGGATTATAACAGATTAGGCTCACCAGTCAAATCCAAATTTGATCATGAACAAAACTTGAGTAATATAGACACAGTATGTATTTGTATTAGCATTATCATCATGATGGTCAAAGTGGTGGATGGTCAGTTGAGGAATACCTATGAGATGCAGGTTATGCACATAACTTTTATTTGTATTTTAAATATATTTCATCTATATTTGTATGTGTTTCATGTTGTTATTATTATCATCATCTCGATGGACACAAAATATATTAGCCTGAAATATCAAATTGTGAATACCCGGTACTGTATTCAATTTGTGAGGGTTCAGTGAGATTTATCAGAAACATTCATATAAGAACCAGTATTCTATTTTTGTATATGTAATAAAATATGATTAAGAATAATTTTACAACCTTGGCATGTCGTTTATTAAATTTTTCAGATCTTCAATACCTATATAGAAGTAGAAGTGGATGACTCTGGTGCTGGCAGTTCAGGAGCAGTGTTTCGCAGTCCAGAAACAAACTCCACTTCATCAAATGCTTTGGTTAATGGTCACACACCAGAGTCTATGTCATCAGATACAGCGGCAGCCACAGCTGATGGAATGGATTGTAGCCAGGAGGAGCTACAAAAAGTGAAAGATGTGATGGCCCTCATAAAAATAGCACAGCCTTCTTCTCCATCAGTGTGTGTTTATACTGTTTCCAATGCATATAATGGCCTGAGTTGTGCTAGTGTTAATGCAGAGGGCAGATTGCTGTCATGTGGGTTTGAAGATAGTGTCATTAAACTGTGGAAATTAACTCCTCCAGTACATAATGTAGGGTTTAGAAAAACTAGCACACTGGTGGGACCCAGAGGTGGAATATCACATACTCTTCTCGCTTGTGATAATTCCCGGATTGAGGATGATGGTGATGGAACTGAAGAGGAAGAAAGAGAAGAGGAAGAAGCAGCAGCAGCAGCAGCAGCAGAGGCAAGGAATGGTGGGAGAAGAAGAAATCGTGGAGGAGAACTCTTTGCTTTAAGGGGACATAGTGGACCTGTTCTTGACACTACTTTTACCCATGATTCAACTCACCTTTTATCTGTCAGTGAGGACACTACCATGCGCTTATGGAACCTTGAAAGTGGCCAGGCAGTTGCGCTTTACAGAGGCCACAACTATCCTGTGTGGTGTGTTGCTGTTGGTCCTCTTACCATGTATGTAGCAACTGGCTCATATGATAACACAGCTAGAATATGGTCTACTGACTGTACATATCCTTTACGTACCCTGGCAGGTCACACCCAAGCTGTGGATTGTGTGGCTTTTCATCCCAATGGCACATACCTCGCCACTGGGTCTTGTGATCGGACTATAAGGCTGTGGCAAGTAACAGATGGAGATGCAGCACGGATTTTCCTTCACCATAAAGCTGCTATCAACTCCTTATCATTTTCTCCAAATGGAAAGTGAGTTATTCATTAATTTTTCAGTTCCTTCCTCAGTTTGGTACAGTAATGACATAACTTTTGTCCCCATGCAACCCTTTGGCTTGATAGGTTGAATATGTGAATTTTTAAGTATTTAGAGAACTGTAACTGACAATGCAAAGATAACCCAGAAGAGAGCTATCACAGTGGTCAGCTGACATACACAAGGTATAAAATATATTGCATATTATAGCTGACATACACAAGATATAAAAGATATTGCTTACTTTGGTCTTTATAGCATTAATTATGTGCCAAGATTTTTTATTTTTTAAAGAACAAAGAAGACTCCTGACCATTGTCGATGGTGCTTTGGTGTCCCAATCCTTGAGTCATACAGTAGTACATTCATTTCCATGTAAGATTGGTTGATTGGGCATTAATGCACTGAGTTGATCAGCAACAATGTAATTGCTGAAATCATCAAAACAAAAACAAAATGGAGAATCTGGTGTTATGCTTAACTTGGTAACTGCACAGAGTTTTTTTTATACTGCACCAACTTATTTATAAAGCACAGTTACAGAACCAGTTCATTTTTTTCCTTTGATAGTCAACATTTACTGTTGTCTGACAGTACTTATTAATATCTTTCTATTCCATATACAGTATTTAAAGCATGAAATTGTGAAAAATGTTCTCTTTCTATGACTTATTACTCTTCTTGAATTTTCTAATTATTTGTATCTTTGTCAATTTTATTTTTTCCAGTTATGAAATGCAGAACATTTCAGTAGTAAACTAAATGAATGCTATGTGACAAGTGAAATGCTTCAGAAGAACTTTTCATGGTCACCTAATGGAAGGATTACATAGAGAATGTCATAATTTCAAATTACACTATATTATGTTTCCTCCATTGGTTATTCATATGAATATTGCATTATGAGTTTGATTTCAGGATATTTTATTTGTACAACTTTGAGAGTAGATATTCATACAAGATACATTGCACTTAAACTTTTTTGCTAGAAAATATGAAAAAATAAAATTTAATGTTCATTTTCTCTTAACTGACAGATACCTAGCTTCAGGTAGTGATGATGGGGCAGTTGCAGTGTGGGATCTGGCTGGTGGACGTGTGCTTACTGAACTGTGTGCTGGAGGACAAACTGGCAGTGGTAATACAGAAGTCTCACCTCACTTGGACTCCATGGTGGGCCTGTGCTGGTCAACTGACTCCTCTGTCTTAGTCTCTGCTTCAAGTGATGGCTGTGTGCGCACTGGCCATCTAAGACAGACATCTGTTAGGTAATTCATGTGATATCTGAGGTGTTCTTAAGCTTACACAACATACTTAACACCTTTGTCTCTCCTGTTCACTCAATGTCAGGTTAGAGAGATTGGCTTCTCTGCATGGCAACTTAACCTTTGGGCTCTGTGATGTATGAACTACTGGTAAATTTACAGTGAATACTGAGGAAGGTGTTGGATGCATAGTTTATAATGATAAAATCACACTTCAGGAAAAACCTAAATTTCTAACTTAGTTCCAGTCTTGGGCAGCCCATGTATAATCAGTAAGTCTGCTAGGAGAAAACCAGATTACCAGGGATGCAATGCTTATGACTGGAGACCTGAAAATTAGATAACCCTTCATAACCATACCTGACTCCTTGAAAGTGGACACTTGATATGTTTGTCTCACTGAAGGAAAAAATAGTTTTGCTGATATGTAAGCACACTCACTCTTTAATTCCATTGTTTTGAATCAGCCACAAAACAACAAAGCAAGATCAACCTTCTCATTTCCAGTCACATGGGGTCAAGGTCAAACACTACCTCCCTTCACCTGTATTTGAAGCTAAATGCCACCACTAGGTTTCAAGTGTATGTTTAGTTGAAGTTTGTGGCATCTATAAAACAAATTAGTTTTGTTTTTCATTAATTTGTTGCTTATGTATACAGCACTGCATTTTAAATTTTTATGCATACAATTGTGTTGTGTTGCTCAGCATTATTTTGTTACATGTTTGAGAAGTGATTCACCCTCCAGGAACATATATCTCATTTCTTAATAGTATTTACTGTAATATATAAATTAAATTTTATTTACAAATATTTGGTTACAATATGGTTTTCATGAATACAACCCAAATCTAAAGTGAGGTATAATTATTATTGTTTATTTATTTATTTATTTTGGGGTTCATTGCTGTGCCTGTGTTATCAACTTCCTCCTTCCCATAACTGGGCTGTATGAGATCAACTTTCTCCTTGTTATTTTTTTTTTCTCGGCTGTGCCGTCAACATTTTTCCCTAGTTGACTCTTAACCTGGGCCCATGCTTTGTAATGGGTTTACCATTAGAGCCCAATGCTATTGATTAATTTTTTTATGGTAAGTACAGTACAGTACAATGCAGTATTTGGTAAAACCAATAAAAGGAACTGAAGTTTTGCACACTATTTTGTTGACACTATGTGAGGAAATACTGAAACAGCTTCTTATTGTTCATATTTACAGTGATGGAGGATCAGCTTGGGAACTGAATGAGTTGTGCCAAGTTCAGTGTAGTGGAAGTACAAATGGAGGAATGGTCAGTAATGGAGGAGGAGGACAACTACTTCATACTTCCCTTACGTGTCATAACTACCTCACAGCTGTCACCACTCTTGATGTTGAGAGATAAGATCTGATCATTGGTTTTCCCTAACATCATTGTGTAAGGTTTCTACTTCAGCTGCTGTGGATAACATTATCATTTCGAATGGTGCTACAAAACCATTAAAGATACAAAGTCATTTATTGATGTTAATTTTAAACTAACATTAATATTTAGGGTCTCATTAAAAAATGTATTTATAATCATCATGTGCAGTTGTTGAAGTAGATTCTCCTGTTAGAGCTATCTGCAAGTATTTGTACAGGTTGACAACCCTTTATCCGAAATCCGAAAGTTATTTGTGGAGCATTTTTTTTTTTTTTTTTATTATTATTATTATTATTATTATTAACAGGGATTAGCCCATCCGGGCATAGATCACTGACCCACATCGGGGCGAAAATGTAATGGTAATACTAATTATAATAATAATTATTCATAGTAAATAAAAAATTTTAATTAAAAAAATACAGTACACCAAAATAAAATAATAATGATAAAATTTATAATAATAATAATAACAATAATACTGTATTAATAAAATAATAATAAAGAAATACAAGAATGAAAAAAGATAAAAAAAGTGAGAAACACAACCTAGGCCTACGAATTATTATTATAATATTTTTGCCCCCTAGGCCCCAATGTGGATCAGTGACTTGTGCCCGGGTAGGCTAATAAAAAAAAAAAAAAAATGAAAACCGAAAATTCCGAAATGTCTCTGGCCCCAAGGATTTCGGATTGTCAACCTGTATGTAGAAACAAATTATATTGATTCTTAATGTAGTCACATTCTCTCCTTTCGATCTTATTTCTTTTACATTGTTTTTTGACCTTACATGTCATTGAATTGTTATTAGTTTGTCATACATGTCTATTTTTTTAACTCCTTTTACCTTATCACCAGTAGTCTGTAAGATTCATATTTTCTTTTTACCATTACACACACACTAATATACCTGTATTTGTTTTACAATGTAGTTTATTAAAATTTTCCATACCCCACAGCAGCAACGTAGCAATCTGTGAGCTGTACAAATTTTACTGGTCCAATATATACAATACTGTGTATTTTCCTACAGTCAACTAAGATATATATATTGTTTGATTTCCCTTAGAACAGTATAATGTAAGGTAAGTTTATAAGAGTTGGGCAATTTCAGATAGAACTGAATTCCCTAGAATTATAAATTGGAACAAGGTTACCTCTGAAGGTAGGCAAGTATTATACCCTGCCATGTCACTGGAAAGTCCAAAAACCTATTTACATATTGGGGCTATGTGATTAGCTTGTAATACATGAGGCACAGTATTTGAGACAAGTGTTGTGGTTATGTGGATTTAGGTTAATAATAGTGCAACTACAGAAAACTACATGTGACCAAAGTGAAGGAACCAGACATAGTTGGGTTCAGGGTAGAAGTTTGACCATTGGTATGATGCCACAAAGAGCATGCGTGATTATGGAGACATTGAGCTGTGGACTTAAACAAAATGCAGCTTACTGTAGTTTCATGCCAGGTACAGGAACTACAGAGGCAATATTCATATCAGGAAAATACATACCGAGTGAGCGAGAAGTAACTTCCACGAGACACACTAGCCACAGTATAAATAATGTGCATACCCCCACTCTACAATATATATATTTTTAAATGTTTATGTAGTGTAGCACAAGATGTATGATGAATGGTGTTCGTACGAATGATGGATATTGCATATGATATAGCATAATTTTATGTATACTGTACCTGTATTGGTTATTTCTTGGCCATCCTCTACTTGTACAACCATAAACTGATGTAATGGATTGAGGTGAAGAGCTGGGTATTTAGATTTATTTATGATTTTCTTACAATCTATTCCTGGTTGTAGTTACCATTTTATTGCTGCTTAGTTTGATTGATATGTCCAATTAAGACCTCATTTTTACCCTTTAACTTAGACATAAACAGTGAATTTTGAAGATATGGTTTCTAAGATTTATTTGCAACTACTTTCCATTCAGAGGGCAACACCTTATTCGTAAACAAGTTATTTCCGATAACCGGAATTTAATTTTACTCGGAATTCTTCCGGAAAATTTTCTAGAAAAATCCATCAACTCTGGTCAATTCTGTGGATGAAATAATGCAAAATTCTGGAATGGGAATTTTTTCCAGGTTTCCCTTAAGGTGTCCTGTAACCTTTCCACCAACTTAAATACCTTAAAAAGGGTTTCTCCCACTTAGGATGGGGAGGGTGGGATTGAACTCTGTCCCCAAAGGTGGTTTATCATGATACACCAGACATTTCTCTGTCACTTGGAGGGTGTTTACAACTTGAAGCATGTGTCAATAACAAGGACTTTATCACATTATCAGATACTAGTCAACACGGAGATACAGTACTGTATCTGAATATTTCAGCTGGTGCTTACATTGATAAGCCAAGAATTCTGGATTGGCTTCAACCAGATACTGTAACATTTGAATAGTAACCTTCCCCCTCCAAGATCCAACCCATGTAATGACAAAGTATACAAGACCTGTTTTATCTATGCCACAAATCCTGAACATACTAAACCACTAGTTTGGAGAACAGTACCAAAGTTAACATGACAATTTTTCTCGACTACAGCAGGTGCTGAATTTCTGAATGCATGCATTGCTGTGCCACGAGTTCAGTGGTGCTCTTTTAATGCCCTGCCAAAGGTTTGCCCGTTCCATCCATTTGTGAATGCATATCTGGCAAAACTTTTTCACCTCGGTAGAGGCCCATATACCACAAACATTTTTTAAGTTGGTCTTTTCATTGTTCATATTACTTACCCAGTACTGTAAACCTATTTAATTTACTGATCAGCACCCAAAAAATGCATAATTATTGAACCAGACCAGCCTGGAAATTAGGCTGATAGTTTTGTAAAGAAAACTACAACTCGAAGGTTAAATAGATTTAATAGCTACATATTTATAAGCAATTAGAAAAGGTCACCCTCAACCCTATGCAGAAAAGTGCAAGCCCTGAACAAGGTTTTGATCTTGACAGAGCCTGACTGTCATTCAGCACACTTAGGTGATACAAATTCATATGAAGTTTCACCAACATATCTGCATCAACGTGTGAGTTATGCTCCAGAGGTTTATACCTCTGAAACAGATTTGATATGCTGCACATGTATTATCCTGTAAAAACACAAATATGATTGGTCGAGTAGTTTCAGTGATGTGCTCCACAAAAACTTTGCATAAAATAAAAAAAATAATTATATATCCCAACAGAGGAGAATTAAAATGCACATGGGATAAAATAAAACATTTTCCCCCTATATTACTTTATTGGCAACATGTAAAACTCTTAACATATAGGCTATGGAGTCCACTGCAACTCAGCTTTAGGGGTTGTATTCCATTTCAATATAAATATAGACTCCTTATATACAAATATACATATAGTGGAAACCATCAAAGTAATAGAGCAAATGATCTTAAGTAAACATTAACAAAAACCAATTAAACTAAGACCCTCAAATTAAATGTTGTAACATTTTAACCCATGTATCTTAATACTAAATGGAAAGGAATAAAGATGAATGTGCGCATCATTCTGCCATCATTGTCCAGTATCCGTGAGAGAGCAATCCAGTAGGAGGTCCATGTGTTGGGATTCATATCCTGGTGTCCAAAATGTTGTCACAAGTAATGAGCCAACATTTAGGGGCAAAAATTGAAGAGGAGCAACAACCTCTTATTCAACTGCCTCTCTTGATGATCAACCCATTCTGATGGACTGGATGATTTGGAATACAGCTGAAAGAGAATTTATTTTTTAAGTTCACATCTATGGTCTCTCTCTAAGGAACTCCCCTCTGAAGGGGTAACCATGACAGAAAAGCATACAGGCAATCCAAACACTACAAAACTCCTTTGCTCCAAAGTCTCCTTAAAACATGGGTCCCCGTATTCATCACTCATCAATTAAGAAGCACGTCTGCTATCTGTAATTTACTTCATCAATTGGACTACTTGCTGCGGCATAGTAAGTCAACACAAACACTAGTACAGGTTCACTAAAAAATACAATTGGTTATTATTTGAACAAATACAATTAGCATTTCTTCAAGTTTTAATCTCCTTTGGTACAAGTACAGGGACTATTAATGTACTGCAAATACTTGACCCTATGTAAGCACGCTGCAGCTGTATGATGCACTGTTTTAAAACTAACACTCCTGTTACTAATATTCAGTAGTGTGTAGATTTAAATATAAATATCTTAATATCTAGTGGGTTTGCATTTAAAATTATAATTTAAGAATACAGTATAATGGTAAAAAAAGGGCTTAGATGAAATTTATGGAAGTGTGTTTAACTTAAGTAAGTTCACTGTGTAGTATGGTAAATCACAGTACCTGTACTGTACATGTTTAAGACGAACAAGGACACCAGTTAATATGGGATGTATAGATTTATCTTTGAACACCTAAATTACAAATGTAATTATGAATGTGATCTCATTATATTCATAGTAAAAGTCTTGCTTGACTCACAAACGTTCGCTTGTAATTAAGAATATGGCAGTGCCTCCACACAGTAATAGTTATTTCCGAGTTATAATTACAGATACTTTACAGGTAAGGATGGGTTTTATTCGTAAGTAATTGCAAAATTAACAGTTCTGAGTTTTGAATAAATTGATTTACAAACAGGGTCAAGGAATGTAACCCATTCATAACTCGGGGACTCCCTGTAAATTAAGAGACTTAATAAAATGTGCTTATATGAAGTATTATTGTCTTTCACTTGCACAAAGTGTATAGTTACGTACTAACACCAGTGTGTTGTGTTGCTTTGTTCTGTAAACACCGTCTCCAAATTTGGTGCTCTATTTCCAATATCCCCATAATACTGCCATATCATGGATCTAAAGTATATATTAAGTGTTAAGAGTTCACAGGAGATACATAATTAGGTGTAAAGAGTTTACAGGCAATACAGAATTAAGTAATGTTTAATGTACAAAAAACTACATGCGTACTGTAAAATTAAGTACTTGTACTGTATTTGTTTAGTCTTTCTCTGGATATCATAGTGGCAAAAAATTAGAATGTAACCCATCCTTATTTCTTAAAACAGAAAATTTCAGTTTCATCAGATAAGTGATTAGTTCATTAATTGATTTATGAAATTTAAGCTCAAAGCCAAGCACTGGAGCCAAAAGGCTATCCTATGTAAGCAGCCTTCCTTTGCCCAACATGCCTACTACGTTTCTTTGGATATACAGTACTGTACTACAGTATACAAATGTGTTAAATACATTCATCTAAAAATCTTGAGCTGTAAACAAATGTTTAAACTTCAAAATATCTTACCTGAACCACACACTACAAAGATGAAGAGGCCAAGAAGCCATGGGCCCACGGGATAATTTTCATCATCAGCTTTCTGGAAAAAAATATATATGTTGTATAATACAGTACAGTAAAGTAGGGTTGGGATATATGTGACTTTTTATATATAAAAAAATTATATCGCGGCTACCAAAATTATCGACATTTTCCTATACACGTATTGTATAACGAAAACAAAATTACGCGAGGGAAATATTTAAAATTTATCGCCATGGCAGAGGCGCCATGTGGACGCTTACCCACGCCCGCTCAAGTCTTGAATCGGCTCTCACCGCATGTAGACGCTTCACTCTCGCTCTCCAATGAAGGTCACCATGTGCTCTACTACTGTGTACTGTACCAAGATGCTTAAGCGTACTACCGGTAGTAGTACAGGTGCTCCTCTACTTACGAACGAGTTACGTTCCTGAGGCTTGTTTGTAAGTCCAACTTTACTCTTGTAGATACCAAACATTGTGTAAAAAAAAAAAAAAAAAATTCGAGATTTACTAAAACTATACCCTTTAATACAGCCTTAAAACCAGACTCACTCTTCTCCTAGATAATGTTTGTTCTATCTGGAATTTTCTTCAAAATAATCCAGTCTCATCCACATTAAACACCTGTTCTGGCAGGTAACCCCCCCCCTCAGTGATGATGTTTGTATCTCTGAAAGTTTCTAAGTTGAACGTTCTTAAGTAGAAGAGCACCTGTACCCCACTTAGTTCAAGTGAGAAAAAGAAGAAAAATCCTTCAACATTAGTAGTAAGGTGAGGATTTGGACGAGCTTGAACATGGAGCAAGCGCCCCTGTTGCCGCACTCCGCTATGGAGTTAATGAAAGCACCATTCGTGGCATCAGACAGAAGGCAGACAAGATTCATGCAGCATTTGCTGCACCAGCAGTTTCTAAGACTACCCAACACTTACGACCACCACTTTACCAAGAAATGGAAGACGCACTCAAGGTATGGATTGAAAACAAGCAACGCCGTAAGTCAGGTCCAATGATAAAGAATGAGGCAATAGAAATACAGACACGTCTGCTTCAGCAAGGACAGCCAGCAAGTGAATGTAAATTCAGTTAGCCAAGACTGGCTTCACAGCTTCATCAAGAGCCGAATTACGCTGCGTGTCTGTCAAGGGAAGCTGCATCGGCCGACACAGCTGCAGCGGAAAAAATTAAGAGGGATTTGAAAAAAGTGGTTGAGGAAGGTGGCTATACTCCAGACCAAATCTGGAATAGTATGAGACTGGACTAAACTGGAAAAAGATGCCGAAGATGTATTAAATGAAAGCAGAAGCCATAGCTCCAGGATTTAAGGTCAGTAAGGACAGAATAACAGTGCTTGTCTGTGCTGATGCCGCAGGAACTCGGCGCATGAAACCTCTTGTCATTCACTTTGCTGCCAGACCTGGTGCTTTTAAAAATGTGCTCCTAGCTCGGCTCCCAGTCATATGGGAATCCAACAAGAAAGCCTGGATGACTGGAGATGTGACAAGGCACTGATCGTCGTGGATAATGCCAGTAGTCACTCGGCCCATCTCAACATCAACGAAAATATTAAATTTCTTCTTGCCCCCTAATGTCACCTCTCTTATTCAGCCTTTGGGTCAGGGAGCCATTGCCATATTCAAATGAATGTACTTGAAGACAACAATGAAGCAAATGGCAGATGCAATGAGTTCTAACCAAGAACTGACTGTCCAGCATTTCTGGAAAAATTTCACAATCAAGGATGCTGCCTTTAAAGTTGCTGAGCTGGAAATCCCTCTCTGAACAAGCCCTAAATGGTGTTTGGCATCCTCTGTGGCCTGATGTTCAAACTTTACAAAGGATTTACCAAGGACAAAGATCTCAAGAGAAATAGTTCTGCTTTGCAAGAAAATAAAAGACCCAGTGTTCCAAGAAATCACCGAAGAAGATGTGGACGAACTTCAAGAGCGCATGGACGACCCAAGAACGACTGAAGAAGCCCTAGAGTTAGTAGAGATGAATAAGAAACGTGAGGAGGAGGAAGCCGAAGATCAGCCCCCACCCGTAAAGAAAGAGTGGAAAATCACAGAACTTAAGGAATTCATATCCTTAATATCTTCCGTCGTCAAGTGTGTTAGGGACAACGATCCTGATGTGGAGAGGGCTACAGAGTATGTAGACAACTTGTACAGGCTCTCTTCTACCTACAATCATCTGCTGGACAGGAAGATAGCTAACCAGAAACAGAGGTCCATCATTTCCTACTTCCGGCCCCATTCTCACTCTTCAGGCAAGTTTAGGTTTGTTTGGTTTTTTATTGAAAAAGTGAACAAAACGAGGAGCAGTATAGGCCGGTCTGTCCAGTGGTGGTGAGTGGTCACGAGACTCTGTGCACATGCACTCCACTCTCTCAGCTGTCTGCATTATGCCAAAGATAAAAATTCAGTTTTAATGATTCCTGTGCATGTTATTTTCAGGTGAAGCGGAGGCTGGACCATCTGGGGAGGAAGCAGGACTGTCAGGGATGCAGGCAAGACCGTCAAGGGTGCAGGCAGGTGCTACGCATACCGACTCAAGCGGTGAAGAGGCAGCCGATGATGTTGGCGAGTTATCACATTTACACTCATTTAGGCATGTTTATTTCATATTTCCATGCGAGAAAAAAAATATGTATGAAAACATGCACTAAAATAAAATGTCTCATTTACAGTTCCGTGTTTAGGCACGCAGTTGTCGCGTGATGCGGAGGAGGTTGGCTGTGAGTCAAGCGGCGCGAGTGATGAGTCAGCAGATTCCGACTTCTAAGGCGAGTGTAAATGGGTTGCTAGTGACGTGAAGAGAAGAGAATGGAAAGCTTAATGGAAAAGATTTAATACTGTAACTAATATTTTTGGTTTGTTCGTTTATGTAGGTGTGAGGCATGTGGAGTCTGGTGTTCCTGAGATGGCTCGTTGGATGGCGCATCACCTGCCAAGTCTGGTGTTAATTGGTACTTTAGTTAAAGTGGTTGCTAATGATGTGAAAAGTGAAGTGAAGAGAATGGAAAGCTTAATGGAAAAGATTTAATACATACTCTAACAATTTTTTTAGGTGTAGGAGGCAGTGTGGCGTCTGGTGTTCCCGGGATAGCGCATCAGCTGCCGAGTCCGGTGTTCCTTCGTATTGAATACCGATATTGAAACAGCCTGTTTTTCCCAAGTCTAGTGTTCATTGGTGCTTTAGCAATTAAGAAAATAAACTCGTTTAAGTCAAGTTTATTCACTTTTACTGGCCTCCGGAACCTAACCCTATTTTCCCCATTGATTACATGTAATTATATATTGCAATTTAGTATATAGCGAACGTCATTGGACCCCCATTTCAAGATATATCTCAACCCTAACGTACTTGTTATAGCTGAATGTAAGAAAAATGCCAACTTGCCAAAATAAGAATAATGGCACTTTTTTTTTGGTACAGGTATTCCCCAATTTACGATCTCCCCATCTACGATATTTCACTTTAACGATGGCCATCTATCAAGACCAACCCCCCCCCCAGTTATGTTGTAAACAATTCACATGAACGATGGTCATCGTCTGACCAACGTGGAAGCATCTATTGGTTCACTTGTCAGCTGCGGTCTACCTGACGCCACCCAGTGTTTTGTTCCATGGTTATTGCACATGGCCTTGATCATGTGGTTCAACAATTATTGGTCTATCAATGTTGTAACTTATCATTTTTTTCTTCTTTACCTCACAGTAAAAGGACACCACTAACGTTCACATTGTTTTGGGGGCCGTGAAGGTGTTTCATGCGACTGTAAAGTGCTTTGCCTCTGTTGTTGTGAACATTATGTGAGCAGTGTCGGCCGTATATAACGTTGCCATCATTTGCTGTTTTTGTGACTGAAGTGAGCCGTGTAACTTTTAAGATGTTTGGGAGGGTCAAGGCACCCTGGAAAATATTGTCTTTGGAAGTGAAACTTGACATGTGAAGCAGCACGAGACTCCCCAGAGGCTGTGAGGAAGTCAGCGACGTGTCCACCTTACCTTCAAGAGTTCCCTCAGTCTCGAAGGGGACATGTAATGATGACCATGCTTGTTTTTAATGTTGTGGTGAGTGTTTGAATGTGTTATAGGTATATTATTAGTAGAGTATAGGATTATTTTCAGTGAAACATGTAGGTGTCCAACTGGCTGGGAATGTATCCCATTTAACCCCATGTTATAATGATCCCAATTTACAATATTTCGACCTGATCATAGATAGGGAAAAAATTACAAATAAAATATATAAATAAATTACATAATAAGGTAAAGGTGGAAGAGACCAATAGCATCAGAAGGACTTTATGGAATTGCACCAAATTTTCAGATGTTGTTTGGCTGATACAGTACTGAGTAATGAAGTCGTAGCAAGAACAGTGTACTAGTATTTTTTTCTTTTTAGCCTCTCCTTCGATCATAAATTACGTGCTATGTAGGCGAAGAAATAAAATATTTACCGTAATTATGGCACCGTCAGATCACCCGCGGCAACCATACTTTGGTTCACATTGTCTGCTATGAGGGAGTGTCTGCAGTCTTTGCTTACATGTTAAGAAACAAAAGACGATCTCATCGGGGGGAGGGGGGGGGTATTATGATTTATAGTGGATTGAAATGGTTCATTTTTTCTAGTTGTTGTTTAGATGATATGAAAACAGATGACAATGCACAGGGAAGGAAGTTAGGTGAGTTAATATCATCCAAAGAACAACAAAAGAAAAAAAAAATATATACCTTATCTTCTGTAGTATTGTTTCCTAAAGTTATTCATCCTAACAGGGTCCCCTTTTAAATGTTTACCAATAGGCAGTGGGTATTTTTCCATAACGAGCTAAATCCTAACTATTTTACCATGAGTGCCCTCTGATTGGCTAATCGTCCATTACCAGCAAACAATGCGAGAACTATACTTGATAGTGGCTCTGGTGGCATTTGGCACTTATTTAGCTGTGTCGATCATTGTGTAGCTGTAAACATACCTAACCAAATTTATGTTGTGCATGACTTTTTATAAAAGAAGTGATATTTACTAGAACCTGACCTAACCAACCAAAGAAACCTACCTAACTTCCCAGCCGGGGAGCAGACGGTACTTAGCCAATCGGAGCACACTCAAGGTAAAATAGCGTTAGTAGGAACTTAGCCCATCACGGCAAAATATCCACTACGTTACCAATATGCATAAATCCAATGTGATTTTTCCCTGTTTCACTACCCATTTTGTATTCAGTCAACTAAAACACTGTATTGGTAGTACAGCAGTAATGTGAATATCTCACTCATGTCATGGGTTCAAATCCCAGGTGTGACCCTACTAAGCATCGCCAGTTTTCTCCTGAACTAACAATGTACAAAGAAGGCCATAAAGTAACACAGATTAGGCCATTCTTGTCAGGTATCATCACCAGTAAACTGATTAGCAGTGACCTTTTAAATTTAATATAGTGGTGACCCTGGAATAATTTACATACAATACAACAATGCTGGCTGTTTAATTTCAAGTAAATATGATCCACTACTTTCTCAGTATTTAATATATAGCATATGAGAAGCTCCCTAACTAAATTCTACCACCAATAACACACCTTATGGTTAAAATATGCCACAATCTGTAAACTGTAACCAACACCCAACTTACCGTTGTTTTAGGCACATTTCCTCTCTGGGTGACGTTCTTGGCGGCTTTATCGTTAGCAATCCTCATTCGCTGCTTGGGGGCCATTGTGTATATATATTTATTTTTTGTATTAGGTTAAAGCGTGGGTGGTTAAGTTGAGCGGTGTTGTACTGTGAGGGAGGACCAGGATTGTCTGCAGCTGTCAGATCTCCCCGCCTCTATCACCTCCATCCTCCGCATAGTAAACTAGTTCTCATCCCACACGCTTTAACACCTAAATTAAACTATAATCCAACCTTTTTTTATTTTAAATTTAAATCTTTTATTAAAATGAATCGTATATAATTGTGATTTAGCTTTTAATATATCAATAAATCTGATATATAAACTACCCATTTGAGTATATATTTAACATGATCCCTGAAGTGAAGAGAACGTATTTTGATGTTTATTATGAACTACTATATATCAATATTTTTTCATCATGTGACTATATAGATAATAAAGGTTAAACCTGACTAAAGCATGTGTCCAGAGTGTTAGCAGACACGTGTAGCTGACATCAAATATTCTTCCGCGCCACGTCTGTTGTCATATTAGTTCGAAGCTCAAAACTCGAACCTCCACTTCTCGAAGCCTTGAACCGAGTCAAAGCTTCGAGATATGTTTTGTTTTGATTCTCGTTTTCTGTTGGTATATAATGTGTGGTTTGTTCTGAGCTGAGGAGATCCACTACAGTAGTTAATTGTTCTGCAAATAAGGTTATATCCAGAGTATTGTTGTATTATCTTAGCACAGGTAGTTGGTTATGATAGCTAAATGACTTAACGGATCATTCTAGGGTAACCAGAGTGATAATGGTTTCTTTTGTTTTGGATTGCCCAATGTAAGAAATTTATATTTATTTAGTGAAATCGTAATTCATTTTTTCATTGGTTTAGCTTATACATAAACATTGCCACTGTACAAACAATGTTAAACAGGTAGGCAGCCAAGGAAACTAGTGAAATCTTAATTCCATTGGGGACCTTATGTATGTTTGGGATGATTAAGCAAATAATAGATATAAGGTGTTTTTTTCTTTACATTATAGGAAACCAACAAAAAGGTGAAGTCAAACTCAAGCTGTGAATTTATGGGTTATTCTGGTTAACTCAGTCAGTTTACTTTCTCTTCAGGGAAGTGGTTAGTTAACAGAAGGCTGAGTGGTTGGTCTACAGTGTGGCTGGTTGTCTTGGTGCATGACAGAACTGGGGTCCGGACAAAACCCCCTCAGTTAAAGTGAAAGGTAGGACAAAAGGCCTTCAGTTAAAGTGCAAAATAGGTTAGGTTAGTATTGCACTCTGATTGGCTAATCGTCCATTACCGGCGAACAACTCGAGAACTGTATTTGACCGTGAATGGCGGCATTTGGCATTTATTTTTGCCGTGAGTCGATTGTTGTGTAGTTATCAACATACTTAACCATATTTCTGCTCTTCATGGAAACATATCATTATAAGAGGTGACATTTACTAGAACCTATTAGAACCTGACCTAACCAACCAAGGAAACCTACTTAACCTTATCTAACTTCCTAGCCGGGGGGCAGACCCCCATCATATTAAACAGAAAGTACTTAGCCAATCAAAGCGCACTCACGGTAAAATAGCATAAGTAGGAACTTGGCCGGTCACGGCAAAATATCCACTACAAATTATTATTTATCTTAGTTTTTTTTTTTTGTCCTACACTCAAGAGAACTACATAATGCATATGTGGCCGTAAATATGACAATTTCTACATTCCACAAAGTGAAATTGGTCATGGCTGGTCTTTTCCACAATAAATCATTTATGGGTTTCCATTGTTTATACGCTGTATATACTGTACTGTATACATGCACTGTGGATATTTATTCGGTTGTCGGTTAGGTAGGTTTTATAGACTAACCAGGAATTGAAAGAGTTGGCCAAAACTTTGTGAAAACATTAGGTATGTTTTAAAAGGTTTTTCTGGTAAGTTAGGTAGGTTACAGTAAATTTGCATAGTCACAAGTACTGAATTTGGAGAATTTTATGGTTGCAATCAATAGTTTAGACAATTCCATGACACTTTTCTTCTATGACGTTTCTCTTGCAAACAACCTAATCTAACCTCCTAACCTGGGGGGCTCTATCCCTCGGACACCCCCCCGCCAGCATATATAACGTCATTTGTGAGAGAAACGTTATTGAGGAAAAGTGTCTTAGAATTGTCTAAACTAATGATTGCAACCATAAAATTCTCAAAATTCAAATATTTGGTGACATGCAAAAATATTGTACCGGGTACTTTAGGTTCGGTTAGGTTAGTTAGATCAAGTACTAATAGGTTCTGTGCATTTTCATTTCCATTTATCTATTTAATACATTGTAATTGACGTTTCCACAAAGTTTTGTCCAATTCTTTCAACTGGTGTTAGTCTAAACATTAAACCTAACTGACAACCAGACAAATGTCCACTGATTTTTTTTATATGAGGTACATTCAGAACATTATGATGCTTTACATATTTGTCTTAGTTCCCCTGTTTAGCTATGTTGCAATTCATTTTAATCTTCAATTTTTTTATACTAATTCTGGAATGAATTTTTAATTTGTTATTTCTACTACAGGTACTGTACTTATCATCTTACTTGCTGTTCAAGTTGTCAGTCCGTTCTTTACTATCATGATACAGTACCTGGAGAATGTAATATTAAAAAAAAAGGGGTCTTAAACTATTGGGTACTTATTCAGTATTATTACCTACGTGATTTCAACATGAAATCATTTTTCTCGTATATTTATGGAAAATTATGTCATTTTTAAAAAAATGAAGAAATTGTTTTTCCATGAAAATGAAGGTGAGAAGCAAAGAAAATACCAAAATATACCAGAAAAGGGTAAAGGTGGAGGAGACGGTTAATACCAAAAGTGATTTATGGAATTGAACCAAAATTTCTGGAGATACTTTTTTCATGATACTGAACACAAAAATGAAAATGCACAGAATCTGATCTAACGAATCTAACCAAAGAAACCTCTCTAACCTTACCGAATTTCCTAACTGGGCAGCTCTGCATATTAAGCAAAAATAACTTACTATACTTTGTTATAGTACCAATGGAAGCAACTATCTTGAAGTAGCATGGTGGAATTTTACATTTTTTGTGGATGTGAAAGTACACTCAGACCAAGCGACTCGATTGTTGCTCTGAAATAAAGAGCAAACGACAAAACACGCCAAATCGACAGATTTTTCAGCAGAATATTTACGCTGACTAATTCATTTTTTTGTGTAGAGTTCTGGTACCTTCACTCTAGTTACTTACCAGGATGTTGTGGTGTATCACTACGTAGAAATTCTCTCCACCACCCGACATTCCATGTGATTTATACTTGATAAATGATGTTTTAATGAATTCCATTAATTTCCAACATCCATGTAAGTTATTGGTTATACTTTGTCATAACCAGTCAGTCATTACCTTTAATAATATTAAGACAGGGATCACAGATATGGGCAAATAATTGCCCTTACATTTATTTGGCAAGGTTCCATACACTGATTTACAATTTGCATGGATATATGAGTCACTCACATTCACGCCATAGTAAAAGTAATCTTGCAACGAGAGAGTTTTCAACCTAGGGACCACACATTTAATTACTCTACTATGATATGACTTAACAGAGCTTTAATTTCCCAAGTGATACATTCACTTTACTGGGGAATATAACCACTTTTATTTGTTTTTATTATGGGATTAGCCCATCAGGGCACAGGTCAATGACCCACATTAGGGCCTGGGGGCAAAAATATAATTTATGGTGGACCATAAATAAATACAAAACACAAAAAAAAAAAAAGATCTATCGTAAGAAAAACAATTGAAACCCTGCAATTGTGTGTAAATGAGGCAGAAAGTCAGATTAGCAACCTGGGATTTGGTCACAATTTTTTGTGGTCTTGGGGCCACATACTGCACTGTATGCAGCAGTCTGAGAGATGTAGCACATGAGCATTATTAGCAAGTATACTGTACTGTAGAGTGCTCAGACTGGGGAAGCTCTCAGTCTGCAATACTGGGACACAGTGATGAGAGGCATGATGTTACCACTGTGCTGTACCACCAATTATAAGTGTAAAGAAGAAAGTTTACATTTAGTACTGTACCACAAAATTATGATCACTGCCCTTAGGACCCAAGTGGAAATATTTAAATAGTTTTTGGGGTTATCCTGAGTGAATCATTCTGCTGTTTACCATTGTTTGTATACAATACTTCCACTGTCTTTGTACGCACTATCCAAAAAATATCTAAGATTTTGTGTTAGACAATATGTCACAGTGGCCAAAGGATTTTAACAACCATACTGAGACAACAGGAGTTACATTGTACATTTTGAAATTCCATGAACAACAAGTGTGCTGTGCACATCATTCAGTTAATTAAAAAATGTATCGCTTCATTTGATGAGCACCATTTTATCCTTCAGAATTTCACCTTAACTTACACAGAAATTTTTTATGTAGCTACAGTAGTTGCTTAATGTAGGAAATGGTTGCACAGTAAACTCTTGTTATTAACAGGGGTTAGGTTACAAGGAATGGCACGTATAGACAAAACGGCAAATAGCAACTTATACTACCTTAGTGCACTGCTGTATACCTATACCAAACTACCAGCCATGGCAGCACTCATCCCATCTTTTAACTTATCTAATAGTTCAACTTTCTTTGTCAAGGTCATCACTGACTTCTGCCTTTTATGTTTCGCTCCACTAGGATCACTAGCACTGACACTAGGCAGTCTGTAGGGACCATTTCACACAAATACACTAAAGTTTTGACCATAACACAAGAGATGCTGCATCGCACAAACGAGGAAGAGGAGACACTGTGGGTACGTGGGGGTGACTCGCTGCACTGCGGGAGAGGCTAATAATCTAGCCACCATCTGCTTATCGCGAATAACAAACCCTCGAATAGCAAGGGTTTATTGTATTGCATTTACTGTACAGTACCTTAAGTTTGATGCCCACTGGGATTGGATGTGAGAATGGCATTGTTCACCATAGATACCAGACTTTCTTGTACAATATATTAACATTGTATACAGTACTCATGGGAGATGGCCTCATTAGCTTTCAAAGGAAACCAGTTTGTCAAAATCAATAGAATTACAGTATCAAGTATAAATAGTTAAATGTATTATTACAACCAGGATTTTTTTTTTTACCAGGTTAACTAAGTGGTAATTTAAAATACCTCTCAGTTTTCTAGCCTTTAAATACAGTACTGTACCATCCATATCATTTGGGGATCCTTCCCTCTTGGAATTGGTTGACTGTTGTATGGTTGTTTAGGTAGCATTTTCACTGTAATAAAAAAGATTGATACCATGGCTAACTGCTCACCTGTACCCTTACAAAGGGATTGCATGATCAGTCACCCAATTTCAAAAGTTATCAGACATGTTTTGCACAACATTTCAGTCTGATATTTATTTCACAGAATTTTGCTTCCATTTAGGTAATGGCAAGTATGGAAGTAGATGAAGATGTGGCAGCTGAGGCCACTTCATCATCCCAGTCAGTAGCTGTAGAGAGCTCCAGCCAGGCTGCTAGTGGCATTGTAAATGTTGCTGCCCCCACCTCACCACTACCACCACCATCTCAGTCATCATCAGGTTTGTACAGCTACAATATCAGTAACCATTATGAGAACTCGTGTTGTGCTTGGTGGTAAAAAACAAAGCATAAGGTATGGAGGAATGTGACATTTTCTGTGTTTACAACAATCATGTAAGGAGGAACATTATATGTTCCATTTTCAAAATATTCTCAGTGCACCCCACCATGTTAATTCCATTTTGCAGCACCAAACAATTTAAAAGAACTCTGAGACTATACAAAACTTTGTTAAGCACTTTCAATATTCTTTATTAACACTAACATATTACTGTACTCTTTTGTCTATATGAAGAAACCAGAATGATCAGGAAACAGGGATCCAGTGAAATTTTAGATTGATTCACTAGATGATGATCTGGTTCTAGATAAAAAACAAGGATGGATTAATAATGTCCTGGGTGCCAGGCAGTGCCCCAATCATGGGCCCCCCTTCACTCCTGCACTCATGTAGACATCATACAATAAATTTTATTGGTGGACTAAATTGTAGAACACCATAAACTCTTGTAATATTTTATTAGGCTTCTAATAGATCACATCCACTTAACTACATATTTTGATGAAACTGTACCACAGTGAAACATCTATTTAACTGACTATATATACAGTATATATATATATATATATATATATATATATATATATATATATATATATATATATATATATATATATATATATATATATATATATATATATATATATATATATATATATAATACACACACACACCTGTAGTGTATATGGTATTCGTTTGTTTGTTTGTTTACCATATTTTCTCACGGCTACTTGTCGGCACCCCTGCTATCTAATGGCCAATTTGAATAATTTGAGCATGTAACATATAACAAACAGTACTGTAGGTCTAATTTATAAACTAAAATTTCCAGTGCAATACTAAATAAACAGTACAGGAATAATTTACTGTTACCTTATACTGTACGGGTAGCTATGGGCCCCTTTGAAGCCTTGGGCCTGGGCAGCCACCTTTTCCACCTCCACCTTAATCAAACTGCTTATTTTAGACTACACCTTTAGTTTTGTTACTTTATAAAGTTAGGCCATAATTGAAGGTATTTACTCTATAGATGTACAGTATTTTAATTATATAAGGATAGATATAATTAGGGATTATAATAATGATGGTGCATTCTGTTTAGTTGTTGGAGGAGGCAGTAGCAGTGATGGGGTCAGTGCAGGTGGAGACTCGGTGATGGCATCAGCAGGGACAGTGGGCAGTGTCTCTGTGTCACTCCATCCCTTGGTTATACTCAATATCTCTGAACATTGGACCCGACAGAGAGCTCAGGAAGGCAAACCTGTACAAGGTAAGTATTGAATGTTCTTTGTCCTTAATCTCCTTTGGATCTCTTCAGTTTATGTGAGGCAGCATTGATTCACTCTTCCTGCAGTAATAGATGTATTCTGGTACCTGTATGGTATTCTTCCACAACAAGGCCCCAGATATCTATCCAGTTTATTTCAGTCATTTTATATGACCGATTAAGAGTATCTTATAAGTGTACATGACCTTTATGTATATTTGTATATATTTACAGTGCTAGGAGCTCTGATTGGGAAGCAAGCTGGCCGCCATATTGAGATAATGAATTCTTTTGAACTGAGTGATGATGAATTGGATGGCAATATCATCATTAACCGCGAATATTATACACTTAAGGAAGAGCAGTGTAAGTATATTGGCTAATATTGTACTGTACTGTATAGTGCTATTGCTTTTTGTTCTCTTTGTTAGTAGTTTATTTGTTCTAATCCCTGAACTGCACAATTGTGTAGAAATACTTTTAATATGTATTCTTACTCTCCTGACCTAACTGGTTTTAACACACTTTCTGGTGAATTTGAATACAGTACAGCAGTATGACATGTGAACTGCATTGCATATTACTAAAATCATTGAACACAGAGCTGGATTTAAAAAGGAATTATCCACATTTATGTAGCTTATTATGGGGGAAGTATGGCTAAAACTTGATTTAAAGGTGGTTTTATATCAGGTAGAGACACTGTTATATCTTGTCATTAGGACCCACTGTTTTCACTGGTGATGTACAGTACTGAGTGTGACTCAAAAAATATTGGGTGTGTTGAATTATTGGTGAAAGATATTTGAGGCTGTGAATAGTGAATTCAGGATCAAGTTATAATAGGAAAGACATGAAAATTTTCCTCACTGATAAAGAAATTGTTGAAAATTATAGATAAGAAAAAATATTGGGTATTGTTGATTTTTATTTTTATTATTTTTTTTCTGCTGTCAGACAAACAAGTGTTCAGTGACATGGACCTACTGGGATGGTATACAACTGGTGACACTCCTGGACCCCCAGACCTCTTAGTTCACAAGCAAATCTATGACCTCTTGGACAGTCCCATATTCCTGAAGCTGAACCCTATGGCACGCCACACAGATGTAAGTGACATTGTGTAGTGAAATTTATTCTGTGGTATAAATTATTTCAAAATTGAAATATAGAAGAAAGTAGACAATGCATAAAGTAGGAAAATTTTTGGCAGGTTTAAGTTTAGGTTAGTGAACAAGGAGCAAATTAGAAACAATAGAAATTAAGTGCTGGGAGCAGTAAGTGGGGAGAGGATGCTGAAAAAAATAAATATACTGTATAGAAATAAAAAGATATGAAAGATAAAAAAAAGTGTTGGACAGAAATGCTGTTAGGGTTTGCTGAGAATGGAAAGTGAAAAATTAGCTAGTAAGAATAGGATATAGTTATGAGACAGATGGTAGGAGCGATAGGGAAGATCAAGAAGGGCAGGGAGGGATGTGGTGAAGCAAATTAAATGACCATCCTGGAATGAATGACAGAAGATCCTGGAGTCGAATAATTTTTTAGGGGAACAAGGATGCCAAGTTAAATGAAACAACAGGCTAATGTCACATAGGTATTTGAGGGCTTTGTATCACGGAAGAATACTGCATTAATAGTACTGTATTAAAATGGATAAGTGACAGCAATGAAAGGAGAGTCTGTGTGTGTTTGCTCTTGATTCCAAGCACCATACATGTAGCTGAAAAAGACTTGAAAGAACAAGAAAAAGTGTTGTTAATGGAATGCCTGGAAGATACTGTATATCAACATAAACTTCCGTGACTGTATATAGGAAGTACAACAGTGTACAGTCTTAGATATTGATAGACTGTACAGTAATTGTTACATAATTGTGTGGAGATTACTAATTCTGTTTCAAATTAATATGATTTTCTTTTTCCTGTAACAGCTGCCAGTAAGCATATTTGAGAGTGTCCTGGATTTAGTGAATGGAGCCCCCACCATGCTGTTAGTGGAACTGCAGTATACAATAGCTACTGAGGAGGCTGAACGTATTGGTGTGGACCACGTGGCTAGAATGTCATCACACGACACCCAGGAAAGTTCCCTTGGTCAGTGTCGCGATCATGTGCTTTGTTATGATAGTACAGTAATATATACTGTATATTTCCATAGCTCAGTTGGTAGAGCTTAGTTGGTTAGATAAATTACAGTGTAGCATCAAGTATCATTACAATTTATTAGAACATTGTACTCTATTGGCAAGATATTTGTTGTTTTAGATAGGAAAGGCTAGTATATAGGAATATTGTAAAAAAATTCCCAAACTAATAATTTGATCATAAAGACATAGTAATATCTCTGTTAGCCGGAATCCTTCAAACCTGGAACTCTCCGATAGCTGGAATTGAAATTTTCTCAGAAAATCGTTCCCAAAGTCAGAATTTCCTGGAAAATTCTGACTTTGGGAATGATTTTCTGAGGGACACATTTACCAGAAAATTTTCCCAAAATTCGGAAAATTCCAGGGATGGGGCGGTTTTTATCCGGGTTTGAGAGATGAAAATCATGTACATTTTCCGGAAGTTCCTAGAATTTTTTTCCGGTACCAGGAAAATTTCGGGGATGGGGGATGTTTTTCTGAGTTTGAGAGATGATGTAATGGGCAATTTATGGACCTTATGAGAACTTTTTCTGTTACCCGGATAATTCCGGGGATGAGGGATTTTTTTCGGCTTTGAGAGAGTCATCCAGTTACCTGGAAATCTTTCATTCCCAGAAGTGATCTGCACCAATTGTTCAGGGTAACAGAGATATTACTGTATTCATTATTTTGTAATTTCTAGTAAAAAAGTATATGAACATGTAATGTATGGCAGCAGGCTATATTCCTATTTTTTTGTGATTTTACTCTTTTAAATGCAGGGGCAGATTCAGGAATATCAGCGGGGGGGGGTCCATGATGTTGTGGGTGGGGAAACATGGAGAGCAGAGCGAGCCCACCCAGTTGAGGGTTTTGGGGTGGATGTGAGCTCGCCCCCCTTTTTTTTTTTTAATCTGACCAGTATCATGGGCTTTTTGAGGCCATTTTGAAGCCATGTGCACTTGATATTAGGAGGTATTCTGAAGTCAATAATAGTTACTTTTTACTATTCAAAAATGCCTGAGTGCAATATTGCATTAAAGAAAAAGTATAGGGATTTTCTGATGAAGAGGGGGGGGGGGTTCTGGACCACCAGGACCTCCTCTGGATCTGCCCCTGGTATGTACTTAATTACTTACTAGGATATAATTAGTATAGTATAGGTACCTGCAGTTTAACTATGGGATTATTATTACCAAACTATTTTTTGTCATTTAAATAATTTCACAAATTTAAATAACAAATAAACTATGGTGGGAACTACCTAGTTCATGAGTTTAAGTTTCAAACTTATTGATGGTAAAGTCATTTATGCTCAAGATTCTTCACTATTAAATGGGAAAATCCAAGTTCATCTGCCATGATCCTTAGTACAGTACTGTACAATACAGTATTATATTCTCAGATGTGACGCCTTTATATTTCATCATATAATTCCACATTTCATCACCCAGGACCAAAACCACACCTTTGTTTGCTGTCATCTTTTCAGATACTGTACTCCAGACATCATGCCCTCACTTATCTTTTATGCACACTTCTCTACCTTTCAATATTGTTTTGCACAAAATCAAAACATTCAGGTACCTTTTTTCACGGTACTTTGTTGATTTTTCTTACTTTCTTTGTTAGGTCCTTTGAAATTCAAACATCCTAGTCTAAGCTTTTATTTTATTTTCCGTCACATAGTACAGTTGCGGAAATGTGTTCATATGCCCCCTGTGGTAACCCGTGTCTCCATATGGCCAATCTATATGATCAATAGCAAACCTATCTACCACTCACGTCGATTGTTACTCAACCAATACCCATTCATTCATAAATAGTGATACTACTGTGACAATGTCGTTTGGAGACACAGGTTACCACAGGGGGTGTAGGAATATATTTCTGCAACTGTACAGTACAATAAGGTGGAGTTACTACCACCATGTCCTTAGACTGGGGCTTGTCACACCCCATTATCTCATTCTGTACTTGTTCTAATATTTTATTACAGTTGCAGAAAATCTTCAAGCACAGTACAGTGCAATCAAGATGTTGGCTAGTCGAGTGCGCCTAATTGCGGAATATGTTCGTGCCAGCCAACGTGGTGAGGTGGACTTCAATCATGAGATTCTTCGGCAGGTCAATGCTTTGGCTCATCGACTGCCAGTACTAAATAGCGATAAGTTCCGTGGAGAATTTTATAATGTAAGTGCTTATCTTACACGTTTATATTTTACAGTAAAAAGAAAATTGTTTTAGACAGTTAAACTTATTTCTGCTAGTTAATACATATATTATACAGAATTAAGATGTGAGAAGCATGTATAAACATTTGGAATATCTGGTTAATGACATACTGTATTGGTACAGTACATGCACAGACAATCTTATATACATAGTGTGCAAAAAAGTAAATGTAATAACTATCATTAGGTCAAAAACATGAAGGGAATAAAAAAAAATTTGTGTGTGAGAGCAGGAGGGTGAGCATCCCCAGCCGGGCTGGGTTGCTATGGTGTGGCTCGAGGCTAAGTAGCCAGCATTTATGCAAGTAGTGGCTGTGTTTAACATTCATTTAGCTTTTCATTAATGCTTTTAGCTGCATTTATTGATCTAGATACTATTAATGTAGTAAATTACAGTACAGTAATTGTGTACTATTTATCATTAGTTAGGTATGTTTTTTTGTTGTTCATGAACTGATTTCATATTTTTGAAGTATGATATTGTGGTTTTCTTGTCATTGGGAACCGAACCCTATTTTTTCCATGTGTTTTTTTATTTACTACGGTATACAAAAAAAAAATCTCAGGAACCTAACACATTCATGTAGTGAGGGATACCTGTACTGATATCCCTTGAAATACGTATGCCAATTTGCAAAATTTTATTTTTACACCTCCATATCTTATATGAAAGCAAGTATTCACTTAAACAAATAACAATCACATTTTGACACCCATTTTTCTTTAAAGAATGTGAACTATTTGCTGTCTCTTGGTCAAGATGGCCACCCAGGATGCACAGAGAACACTTACCGTATACTGTATACATTACACTAGTGTTGCATATGTTTATCATTTCCGATCTATTTATTCAATACTATTATTTTTACATGATGTATTGTATGAAAAACCCACCAATTGACTAGCATTTTCCTTACCCCAGAACATAAACACCAATATATGGGCTCTACCATTTGATATATGAGTGCTTTCATTCCTACAGAATGTAACCCCCCAATAATACAGTACTGTACATGGTTTATACCATTTGGTAATTTTTTTTTTACTTAACGAACAGATTTCCAGGAACACAACCCCTTAGTATATCAGGGGATACCTACATAAGGGAGAAAATGCATTATTGTACAGTATACAGTACTGTACTTCTATTGTGTAATTTCATTACTGTATACTCTCCAACTAATAACTATTTCACTCTCTCCCAACAGCAATGTAATGATGTAGCACTGATGTCATATCTTGGAACAATAACCAAGTGCTGCAACACTATGAATCGATTTATCAACCGTTTCAATCTTTTGCATGAAAGACTAGCCATGGGGCGTCGGATGCGTGGGCTTTTCTTTTGAGATGGGCTTATCCTTAAAAATTGCTTAATATTGTTTTAGAAAACTACAGGGCATTTGAGCTCAAAATCACTTGACCTTTGAATATGACTGGTCCTCATTAAATTATGGTTATATGATCAAAATTATAAACTCTAGGGATTTTCAGTTTGATTCCATGATCATGCTTGATTTTGAAGTGTGTATACTAAATTATGAAGCCTTCATAGTTAAGTTTTGCTATCATGCTCATCTTTATATTCTAATAGATTATTTTCAAGTTTCACTCAAGTTCTATTGTTAGAAATAATAATTTGGTATTTGTTGAGTATAGCACTGCCTGCTTATAAAAGCGACAAAAAATCTTGTAAGAATAAATGAAGTTTAAGTTTTTGTTCCATAAATTAATTATTTCCCCAGTTTTCTGTAGTATTTTTCCAGTTTTCTTGATATTTACATAAAAATATTGCATTATTTGGACCGAGCAAAGAGTAAGCATTAATGGGTAAGGTGCATATGTTTGTTTTTATGATGGCAAACTACAATGTCCAACCAAATCAAACTTAATTATTCAAGGAATTTCAAGATTTACTCCCACCTTTTTCATTTGTTAGGTTTAAATTATAGTAATTATTTAATTCATTGTATTTGGGGTCTGAAATAAACAGATGTAGTGTTTCTCTGTAAATTTTACTCAAATAAAAAGTCCTAAGAATGTGAAGATAAATGAAAAATACAACTATTTATTTATATAATTTATTTTTTATAAAATAATGTTATAAGCAGGAATAACATAGCTATATTTAACAATTACCATAATTTTCATAATAGCAATAGCTGACAACTTGTTTCACACCATTTGGCATGTAAAGGCAGTCACATGATAAACCCAAAGTAAAACTGATTACCGTAATATGCTGTTTTTCTACATTGATTTAAAATATAAAGATTAACCATAGGAAGTTAGAAAAACTAATCCTTTATATTTTTGAGCTTGAAAGGTTTTCTACTGGATCCAAAGTTTTATTTCATGACTTAAAATCTGAGCCAGTAACTGTTGGAGGATATGGTTCTTATATGGACATAACTCTTGCTACAGATTTTCAATGCCCTATATGTTAGCATACGAGTATAATTGAGCTAATGACAGAACGAAGTTTTGGAATGTTAAAAAATTACAATAAACCATAACACCTCAAATAAAATATTTCAATGTAACCCTTGTGTACAGAGCAGTGAATACATATTTTATGCCCTTACAGATATGGAATAACTGCAGCACATTCCATATTTCTTGTACACTAATGCTAGGTTTACATATAATTGCAGAAGACTTGCTTATTAGTCACATTTCTCTCATTATAATGTAGGTAAAAACTACCTTCGTTGAACAAAAAATTTACGATGGTGTGATGGTTGCAAAAAAATTATGTAAAATTGGAAACCGAAATCTTGGGCTGAAAAGCATACCGGTTATACTGTACTGTAACTTCCCGTACTGTAGTCACAAAATTAGCTGTCGATGGCAAAATTTACTGGGTGATTAGAAGCTGTATAGTTGTTTCTTGGGTAAAACCTTCCAGCTAAATACATAAACCAAAGTGTCAAGTATTCTCGGCATTCCCATTCTGGTACCCACACTGCATGACAAGATTTCTTTTCATTTTGGTTTTAAAAATATTAATATCACATGCGGTAAAACATCTTTTTCATAAATAAAATTTAGTCTGAAATACAAAAAGGAGGCGAGTCTTGATAGGTCCTTCGCTATTGTCCAGGTGCACCATTAACCATCTGATGTGTACCAGCATTATTGTCTGAGAAGTGCAGTTCCACCAGTGAAATAAGTTCTTCTACTTGTTCCTCAGTCAGCCTGTCCTCACTCTCTTCAATTATCTGAAAAACATAAATTCCATAATCTATCTACCATACTTTTCCTCCTTGCTAATTAAAGCATTCAGTGCAGGCTGACATGAAAATTTTTCTACTGACTGAAGTACCAGTACAGTACTAAATTACAGCTGTATGTCATTATTATTGTTTCACCCCAAAACTCGACTAATCTGAAAATGCTTGGTGTAAACCCGTTTCAGTATAGCACAATTATACTGTACTGACATTATAAACAATACTGTCTCACTTATTACCAACTGCATTTCCACTGGTGTTGTTGGTCGCAGGTTAATCAGCTGCAGTTTCTCAGCTTTGGTAAGCTTGAATTCTTTCACAGATTGAAGGAATCTTTGGATAATTTCTGGAGTCTGATTCCTACAGGGAGTTTTTTCCAAATATTTCAGAGTCTGTAAAAACAAAACATTAGTACTGTAGTTCCAATCTCAGTAATTCATTATAAAAAGATTCTGTACACTAGAGTAAATACGTTTATTGTCTCTGGTTTAATTACCTTTTTTATATAAATTGTAGGAATGAGTATTGCACAGGGAAGAGAATGGGATTTAAAAAAAAATTAAGAGGGGAGCTCTTAAAAAAAAAAAAAAAGAGAAAGCTAAAAGGTCTGATACAGTACAGAAATTCCCAAGAGGATTATAGAGCAAAAGATCGTGTTTTAACTGTTGAATAAATTTTCCTGTACAGTCGCAGACAAAAGTTCACACCCTATGATGAAACCAAGTTATGGGAATGAGCCTCTCAACTTAGTTACCCTGACTATCACCTGGTGTGGGTGTGTTGTTTTATTTCATTTGGGACTGATGCTGCTACATTTTGGGAGGGAGCAAACTTTTGATCCCAACTGTATAGTAAATGACATACTGTACCTTTTCCTACTACAATATTCAATTATATCCCAATTTACAAAAGGGTTCCATTCCCGAAAAAAAAAATTACTTTGTAAATTATAACACATTTTCCAAAGGCTCCCCTTATATCTGCTTAGCTACATTTCTAAGAAAAAAAAAAATTTCCCAAAACCACAAAACATGTTTTAATGAAAAATTTTGGCATACATTAATTATGATTATAAGCCAATAATAAACATAATAATTTTACTGAAAAAAATATCATTAGTGTAATTATTATTACAGTACTGTAAATGTTATACTGTACTACCTGTACTTTGAGAAACCAAATGAGCTTTCAAACACAGAGTTTGAAGCTTTATACAGTACAGGGTACAGTACAATATTCTCTTTGGGGGAGGCAGCTACAAAACACCCTTAATTCACTTTAAAACATTTATGAAAAAACTACAAAATAATATCCATTTTTATTGAATTAAAAAGAAAAATGCTGCAAGGTAAATTTTATTAAACACGCAATATAATGATTTGGAACAATAAAGAATCTTTACTTAACATACATCATAAGCAATGTTGGCGAGGTGTGTTTGAGTCTTTGCAAGGTTACGTCTGCCTTTGCTACCTTGCTGGCACAAGTCTTGCAGCAGTGTAAATACTTCACAGTTGCTCAGCACTGCCCCCTTACTATTTACTCTGCAATACATAAAGAAGATAAAAATATTTTTTTTATGCAAAATGGCCAAGTAGCCTTCTATCATCTGTTTTTCCACCAATCAGAACGAATGTTGGACAAAGAGAAGTAATCAAGGATCTGTGAATGGTTAAATAGGTAATTATCCATCTTAGCCCAGGCAGGTAATGAGCCTATCAGTGGCACAGAGAATAAAGTAATGACCTGGGTTTTGGCATAGAAAGAATTTTTTTTATGTACTGTATCCTGTACCATATAGTGTACAGTGTTTCAATGTGCTTTGACTAATTCTCACCTTCACTGCTTATGCAAATAAGAAGATACTGTATGGAGATATGAACCGGACCCCCCCCCCCCCCTGTGGGGGCACTATCGAACCTAACAAACAGCTTAACCCAAACCAGTAATAGTGAAGTAGATGGCTAACACCAGAAGGAGTTGTTCGATTACATTCACATTTTCCACACGATCTTTGGAAAATGGTATGCGATAAAAACAGCACGACAAGTTTTTATTTTAATTATAAATTTTTTCCCTCTATCTACAATAATAAATTACCTGCAGTAGGCAGACAGAGTATGAACAATGTGGAAATTGGGGGGCAAAATATGGTGAAAGAAAACTGATCACATGGCATTAAGATGATGTCTCCAAGTGCTTTGTACATGAAGAAATTAATTATTTACCGTACATATTCCACTGAAAATCTGCCATGTCAAATGGTTGTTGTCATCCACTCTTTGTTTGTGCAATAACCGAGTGTACTTTCATGTCCACTAAAAATTTAAAATTACACCATACCGCTTCAAGAAAGTTGCTTTCATTGGTACCAGATATCAAAGTAAGCACTTTCTGTTTAATATCCCATGGGGTTCGGGTGTCGGAACCCATGGCTAGGAAGTTATGTCAGTTTAGGTAAGTTTCTTTGGTGGTTAGGTCAGGTTCTGTACATTGTCACATAGTTTTTATTATTTACTATCATCCAAAGAATATCTCTGGAAAAAATTAACAAAATTGAGCTACTCCTTCTGGTGTTTGCCATCTACTCCACCTTTAAGGTCTTAACCTCCTAACCTAATGCTGTGCTTCTAGCTGGGTGGGGGGGCCTTCAACTCATTGGCCCCCTTCTGGGATATTGAAATGTCATACCATGCTGAAGTCCTGGTTTAGGCTAATATGAAGGACTTCACAGCCGATGTATTATTTGTTTTATTGTTTATATTCTTACGATATTTTCATCTGTGAGTTCTCATATACCCAGTACTAATAATGATTTTATGGAAATTTGATTCATGTGGTAGATAATTAGGCCACTAGGCACATACTATTTTGTCTAGTGCACACTACTTTGTCTTTCTCGGCGTGATGCTACGGTACACAGTCAATCACCTCCGATCGATGCCAGTGCATGTTTGTGAGCCATAAGGATTGGGCGGCTGCTCTCACATCCACAAAAAACATAAAATTACACCATATAATAGTAAGTTCTTTCTGTTTAATATGTCGGGGAGTCTGGAGGGCTGAGCCTCACAGCTAGAAAGTTAGGTAGGTGTCTTTGGTTAGGTTGACGCGTTCTTCTAACAACGCTTCTGCCGTTTGTTTTTCTTGTCAACTAAGGTTAGGGTAGGTTGAATTTAGAAATAACCACTGTCACACATTTTCCGTAACTATGACAGTATCCACTATACAACAGAGAAATTGCAGCATTTTAAAATTAGTTTTCAATGAAAAATCAGCAGCTGTGAAATCATAAATAATTACCCTGGTTTATGTACTACAAAGAACATTAACCAATAAATATGGTACTCGGAAATATGGCACCGGATAAATGGCACAGGAAAAATGGCACTGGAAAAATGGCACAACAAATTTCACTTCGAGCTCACGAACCACAAACGAGTTAATGAGCCATGGCGTGCATTGGTTAGGTCATGTTATAAAATTTTTCCAAAAACAAAGTTAATAAAAATTAATGTGCCATTTTCCTAGTCTGATGATTATGCCTTTTTTTAGTGCCATATTTTCCTATTGCCATTTTTCCTGTGCCATTTTTCCTGTGCCATTTTCTACTGTGCCATTTTTCCTACATTCAATAAATATGCAATACCTTCTTTTTTTTTAAGATACTAATACCATTTTAGGTTAGGCAGATAAGGTTGGATGGTAAGCCTCTCTTTAACCTATTATATAATTTTACATTTAGATTTCAGTTTAATTTAATGCCAAAAGTAACAATTATATTTAACGGATGCACACACACATAATACTCACACCTCCATATTGCAGTTGTAAGGTTATAATATGTGTTTCACCACGTGTTGAAGCAGCTGATAAACGGCTCGGATAAATGTCTTTTTGTCTTCTATATTTCCTCCCGTCTATCTGTTCCTCTATTGTGAATCTTCCTCACTTCTTGCACTTTCTTCCATACGCAAACTGTAATTCATGCAAAAATACGTATTTATAGCATCAACAGTGCTTTCCTCCTTTGTACAGAATAAAAATTTACTTGTAATCATTCAATATGGGGAACTTACAGCATTGGTTTAAGGCAGAAGGTAGAAAATAAATATAATAACCAGTTAATACTTGACTGTAAGGGTTACTATTTGTTCAAGCTGACAGGTAGAGTATATGGTCATCTTACTGGGAGTGTGACGACCTGTAGAGTAATATTACGTCACTTTTTATAGAAATTCGTTAAGCATTAAGCCGAGTCGTATATCTTTAGGCATGTATCCATTTCCTATACTCTTACTCTATTATTATCTACTTATATGCAAATGCTATCGAATTTTTGGACACATAGTATTAAACAAAAATTTACAACTATGTAATCAAACTTTTGACAACTGATTTATAAATATTATTAGTGTTTTTTGTTTGGTGGGGTCGTTGTGTCTAAGAGGCATAGTGAAGCAAGGGCTGCCTGAGAGAGAGACTAGCGTGCTGTAGTGAAGTACCGGCTGAGGAGTGAGGAAGATTGACCTGTTCTCGAATATTATAAAAAGGTAAACAGAATAGGTAGATATTAACCAGTACTTTTCACAGCAATACTGTGAAATTAAACTGGGATTTGTCTTCAAAGTCAACAACCATAAACCACTTCCTCAACGCCGTGGCTTGCTGCTTCTCCCCGTCTCAGTAGTGGTAGTAATATCCAGGTGACGGGGTTTATTGCCAGGCTTGGCCCACATCTACTCGGTAACTATCAAGGCGATTCTTGAACTGGTTACGGATGTTGCTACAACAACATACTGATCCAGATTATTCCATTTGTCCACTACTCGTTGACTGAAATCGTGTTCTTTTTTCTTTGTTTATTTGTTTTTACTTTTATCCTCTTCACCACTGATCGGCTCGTTCGCCACCTGGGCGATCGGTCACGTCTCTGTTACGCACTGTTGGCAAGTACTGAGCATGTACTGGCTCCTGAACCTGCTCCAGTGTTGGTCAAGTCTGTGGTCTTGAAAGAGCTCACACTCGGTCCCGTCACAACACTGGCAGATTGTTCAAAAGAGTTCACAACTCTCGCTCCGAAAAAGTTACCCCTCTGCTTTTGTAAGGTGTGGTTATCTCCTCTCAAGTTTCCTTGATATATTCGGTCTTGGAAAGAAAAATTGGTAAATATTCGTACATTGGTTGTACTCGGGTTTGGGGGGTTAGGGTCATCTTGTACCCAAGACAGCTCGTACCCAACTCATGAGTTAAGTCGTACCCAACATTACTTGCACCCAATTCAAGAGATAATCCATACCTATTAGTGGGGTATGCCCATTTCGTGACCAACCCGTTTCGTCACCGTATTCATTCCCATCAATATATATGCGAAAGAAACTATTGCTTGGGATAGAAAATAATAAAAATCACCAAGACAATTTATTAAAGACGAAAATATAAAATAAAAACATTGTTAATACGTCTGCAATCATTTCACTTAAACAATACTGTAATCAATATATACACGAAAGTAACTGTTGCCCCTTGGATAGATAATACTTAAAAACACTAATACAATATGAGAAAGACTAAAATTAAAAAAAATAAATAAATAAAAACATTGTTAATTCACCTGCAATCATCTCACTTAAACAATATGTGAAAGATGCCATAGGTTATGTGGCCTGGTAATATTTACCAATGTTTAATCAAAACACCTAGTTTACAAAATTGTATTACAAAATTATGCCTCGGCATAACAATACATTGGATCAGGCAAGCATCTCACAAAGACAATTTATTAAAAACGAAAATAAGAAAAAAAACCGTTATTACAGTCCTCATGCAAGCATCTCAAACAATTTATTAAAGGCTAAAACGAAAAAAAAAGTAATATGCTTACAATCATCTCACTTAAACAATATGTGAAAGACTAAAATTTACCCATGCAAGCTTGGCAGAAGACACAATTTTTTGGGCGAAATTAGAAGTTGTGATATTTTTTCTTCATATTCATCCCACAGCTTCCAGAGATGGACTGGTTTGTCATGATTTCGTTTTCTTGTGCACGATATTAGCTTATGCTCAGCAACTAGTTGTAATTGCAAATCAACCATTGGGGCTTCTCTGTGAAGAAAAGGGTAGAGCGAGATTGTTCTTTGCTGCTCGGTGGTTTGTGCTCAGGTGCCAAATCACTTTTATTTATTCTGTATTTTCTTTATACAGGTATATGATGATTCTTGGATGCAGACCATCTGGCACTGGAGACTTGTTTGTTTTCAACTTTTTGATAGCTTGCTTTATCTGTGTTATGGAGAACTCTACCTATTTTTCTTGTTTATCTGGCTTGCACATACAGTACTTCCAAAAAATCTTTGGGTTTTCCTTTATATGCTGTGCAATATTTTGTTCCTTATTTTTCAGTTCTTTCCTGGACTCATTTCTAACTTGATTGTCGATTCGTCTGTATTATTTCTCTGCTTCTTGATATTCCCTGTTTTTGACATCTTCATCCCCCTTGTTTGTTGATCTCAGCTGTTTCATTCTGGTCCACAGTCGTTTTTTTCCTTTTTTATTTTTGTTTATAATCGGGGACACATTCACTGATTACCTCCTGAAGGTTACCTCCTGAAGTTTAATCTTGAACTTTGTACACTTTTCTTCTATGTCACCTCCATCTAAACATTCCTCCCAGTTTATGTCCAGTTTGTGCCTCATCAAGTTAAAGTCTGCCTTCTCGTACATACTGTATAGACTAGCCTTTTGCAGTTCTTCTCTTGTGCTTCAATATTACATGTGAATGTTATGCAAGCATGGTCACTCCTCCCAATGGGACTACCCACCTTCATGTCCTCCACAGTTTCCTCCTCACTGCTAAGTAGCAAGTCTAGGACATTTCCTGTATTCATTCCTCTATGTCTTGTGATTTCTGTGATGTGTTGGGTCAGGTAGCAGTCTCACTTTTTCAATGAATCTATGCTCCATGTTATGGACTTAAGCTGTTGTCGTGCAATTTTTCCAATTTATGTTTGGTAGATTAAAGTCACCCAATATTATTTTGTGCTTTATGTTAATATTATATATCTCCTGCATTATGTTTTAAAGTTTATAATTTTCTGCCTTGTTACTGCTTGGACTTCTGTAAATTGATGCAATTAATAAAGACTCATTCACACCTTTCACTTCCATACACTTGTATTCGCAATATTGTTGTTCAAGATAATGACATTAAATGCAATATATTTTCTCATGTAAACAATTAATCCCCTTCCTTCTTCTGCATTTGTGATGTTTTTATTAATCATTTCATATCCATCAAGGCTGTATTCTACGAGTATTCTTACAAATCTATAAAAAATTGGCCTTACTTCCTGTAGAGCAATAACATGTGGATTAACCTTATTTTCTAACAGCCTTGCATTTAGTTCACAAAGTTTATCAGGTAAAAACACATCTACATTACTAAACATTATTGCAAACTTATTTACAATATTGTTAATGTTAGACCCAGATATTTCTTCAATGTTATTCGTGGGGGTTCTCAAAATGGTTGTGAATCGCCAAATCCGCGAATAACATTTGCTGACCGTTTTACTTGTGTACAAAGAAATGTATATTCCCTTTATGTGTTTGCCCTTAGGACAATTATTTCTTTTACCTGTATTGTATATATGTGTGTGTGTGTGTGTGTAGACACACATACAAAACACATACTAATAAATAGTAATGGGAAAATCCTCTTACAAATAATCAGAAACAAATGTATTAAAAATTGTTATCTACTCTCAAGTCTACTCTGTGCCTTGTTATTAATAAAGCACGGAGTAGACGAGAGTAGACTCAACAATTTTAATACTACATTTGTTTCTGATTATTTGTGAGAGGATTTTCCCTTTATTATTTATTAGTACAGTACGGTATGTGTTTTGCATAGACACACACATATATACTATATAGGTAAAGGAAATTACTGTCGAGAACGAATGGCTCCCTGTCCCAGCCGCGAAAAAGCCGACAACTTTAAAACTACCTGCAGATATTCTTGGGTGCATCCAGGGTGTCATCCGCGAATAATAGAGGACCGCGAAATAAAAATTGCGAATTATCCAGGCATACTGTACAGTACGTATATAACATTTTACGGTAAATTGGATAAAAAATGTCTCCTATTTCATGAAGTACTGCATACACAAAGGTATAAATTAGGCTTATGACTACTAATGTTTTTGGCTATTACAGTACAGTATAGAAAACACTGGTTCCTCAAACCAGCAACAAGACACGTTTTTTAAGGGTGTTTTTTATTCTTTATCCACAATTGATAACCATTTCTTATGCAACTGCTTTATTTTCTAGTAATGACCCATTTCTCCTCCTTCAATCAGTTTGGGTTATTTTTTATAGGTTAGGTTAGTAATACTTAAAGTTTCAGAAATCATCATTATTATTTTATGGGAATTATCCACGCTTGCATGGGTGAGCCATGGTTACCTGATGGAAGCACTCCATGTTGCATGATCTCTTGCAGTCTCTTATTTGGTTCCTAACTTTAATGTCATCTCTTACAATATCTACCCGTGTCATTCTTGGCTTACCTTTGGCTCGCCTCTCCTCTACATTTAGACTCCTCCACCTCTCGTTTCTGATTGGCATGCCAGTACAGTACTTATTTCATGACTGCACCATATGTTCTTGCAAACTTTATTTTGGAGTGTACAGGCATACCTCAATTTATGAAAGGGGTTCTGTTCCTAATAAACCCTTTGTAAATCAGGGATGCCAAAGCAAAAGGAAGTAAATTGCAAATCCTCTTTTGGGTGATGTTCTTGGGGTAGGAAAGAAGTTATGTGTAGAAACATTTGATAAAGTTAATGATTAACCTGCACAGCCAATCCAGAGTACAGTATACATTTTCAACATCAATAATATAAGATGCTACTTTACCAAATTTCATCTTTAAACTTATGGGAGTGTCTTACTAGTTGTGTGTTAATTGCTCATTCATTCCTGCTTCTTTTTACATTATATAAATTTAAACTTTAGACTGAACACATTTTCTTCCCTTATAGTACAGGTATTTAATTTCTTTCCTTTTGCAGATAAAACATCACAATGAGTGTCAACACCGACTGGGACATTGAATATTACCGGACACCATATGAAAGTAATGAACACTGGTCCTTGAAGGAGGAATTCATGTTAGCACATAAGGATAGAATCTCAGAAGACCGTCTGGTATGCTTGGCTCAAGTATATGCTAACATTGAACTTTTGGGTTGCAGGTAAGTTGATGCTGAAGAATATGTTTTGTGATCAGGTTATCGGGAATACAATGTACTAAAATTTGAGTACTTTTTAAAAGGTAAATACTTTAAAACTGATGTTTTATCATTAATAAAATAAAATATAAAATACCTGTAATAGAAAAATACTGTATGCTATATCATTTGTAATTTAACTTTAAAGTAATGGAGACAGATGGACTGCAGCAGGTGGGTGAGTGGATGTGACATATGGTCCATAGATGATGCAAAAAACACTGGTCTTCTGGTCTCTTCCGAGGAGAATTACCATCACCGTTGTTTGAATTAATTTATCTAAAATCTAACCATTTTTCTGCAGCTGAATGTGTTTTGAACTTATAACTAACCAATCACAGTGCAGCATTATGGGTGAGTCCATTCTAAGAGTGGGAAAATAAACTGCTTACTCACAGGTCCGAAACATATTCAAAACACTCCATGATGCTATTAGAAAAATACAATATATATTGTTTTTAAATTTAAAGTTGAAACCATCGTGATTTAATCGTGATAAAGTTAAAATATTTGTGGCACTGAGAAAACTGCAACCATAATGGCAATGATGTCAGAATCTAGGAGCAGACTATGCACATACAGGTGTACATGCAAACTTGCAGTCATGGAGTTTACAGTAGATGGCCACTTCATGTAAGGTGTAAAGGTGCAGTTTTAATGTCAGTCAGTGGCATTTCATAAGTGATAAAAATGCAGTGAACAGTAACAAATACAAGTTGTAAGCCCCAGTGTTTACACTATAAGTTGACCTGTTCAAACGTTGCAGCATACACACGTAGAATATACATATTCTAGAGATCTAAATTTGCCACTAATAAACTAATATAACTAAAGTGACCATATTTCTTGGAGCTAAAAGTGTGACATACCAAAATTCACGAAAGAAAAACCCTACAATCCATACACCAACTCCGATTATAGTTATACTTGACCCAAAACAATTGTATATAACAGTGGTATTTACCTACAGTACTTACCTTTTAATGGTCATACTTTCCCCTGGATAAGATTTGCTTTAACATCTCTGGAGTTGATCTTATCATATTGTAGAATTACAGACAGGTTTGTTTGAAGTTGACTTTCATGACAAGTAATGCTTTGAGGGTTGGGATGTTTAGTTGTGGTTTTTCAAATATCCACAATTTGTTCATTTGGGAGAAAACACATCTGGTAGATGAATTTGTTCCAGGAAGACACAGAATGAACTGAACCAGTTTTAACATGTGCTGGTGGGTAATATCTCTATCCTTAAAGTGAGTGAACTTTTCTACCCAGCACTGGTCTGTAGCTAACTTAGCTGCATTCCACTATGATACCTTTTCCATAGAAATATAACTTGTAACACAATAAAACTCATCAAATAACTCGGTATCAAACTTTGAATTATAGAATTTCTTTTCTGCAGCAAAATCTATTGTTTTCTCAATGTCTTGATGCAATGTCAGGTCACCCTTTGTCTGGGTGGGGGATCAGAGCGAAAGCATTTCACAGTCACTAAAACAGAGTACAATGTGAACTTTTGTGATGTCTTCTTACTTTAAGGTAAACAAACACACTGATGATGACTGATAAACATTGAGCTCCATCTTTTACACACATGTAATCAAGAAGAAACAATACCTGGACTGTAGTTCACCAGAAAGCTATGAGGCAGTGTTTGGGTTGATGAGCCTCAGCTGACAAATGAAGTGAGTGATGCATTCCATATTCCGAGTTGGCGGGATGATGAATGTCATTAATGCGGGTTTGTTTACATCACAAATAGGGGAGTGGTCTTATTATATCAGCATCGTTAATGCGAAATATCGTAAATAAGGTTAATCGTGTCGCGGATACCTGTATTTTATTTTGTAATGCAGCACTCTACAGTACAGTATATAGGAACCTTTGTTATATCACTTACTAAGAGACTATAGCTTATACAACACAACAGACTCTTGATCATTAACAAACTTTACTTACTGTATTTACAAATTAAAATACAGTACAGTAGGTCTTACTCTGTCTGAATTTTTTATTCATGATTCTCCAGTGTATGGTGTAGCACCTTATGGTACAAAATATTCATGATCTAAAACCCCTACCTTTTGCATTATGTACACTGAAAAATATCAAAGTAATTATTCAAATATTATTATGGGTAACATCCTTTACTAGGTAACTCACGAACTACAACTGTGAGTCCTGGGCTGTAAAACTTAAGTTTACATTTGAGGCTAATTCTTGAATTAGTTACGCCACTTTATCCTGTCTTTTAGCTGGCTTCAGACACTAAGATGCTGAGTGGAGGGTGTGAAACCATGCCATAAATGAATGATTGATCAACCCATTTTCTGTCTTATACCTTCCAACTGGCAATTTCTTGTAATAAAGGCTGCCTATTGGGGCATTCACTGTTCTCAGACAACCACCAGTTTTTCACACCAGTTACCTTTAAAGGGGGGAAGTGCCATGCAACATTTGTCCTCTGTACAGTAGGCAGGTGTTGTTTAGTATCCATGTCTAACCAATTAGCACACTTCACACTTAAAGTTGTGGCTCTGCCATTTTTCACAGATCTATCCACCACCTCTCAAGAACATAAGAATGGAAGAAACTGCAGCGGGCCTGCTGGCCCATACTGGGCAGTCCCGTTTACACCCAACTCCTATCGCTCATATATCCATCCAACCTATGTTTGAAGCTATCCAGCGTATTCGAGTTAATGATGATGTTTGATGACTTGTTCAACTCATCCACTACTCTTATTTCCAAACCAATGTTTACCTATCTTGCGCCTAAATCTAAATTTGTGTAATTTAAAACTATTGCTACGAGTTCACTCCTGGTTCGATAGTTTGAGTACCTTTGTTATATCACCTTTGTTAAGCCCTGACTTCCATTTATACACCTCGATCATATCGCCCCTCGCTCTGTGTCTCTCAAGGGAGTGTAAATTAAGATGTTTTAACCTGCCTCTGTACTCAAGGTTCCTAATGCCTGGGATTAGTCTTGTTATTCTCTTCTGAATTCTTTCTTGGGATTCAAGATCCATTCTATAGTACGGTGACCAGAACTGAACTGCGTAATCCAAGTGAGGTCTCACAAGCGCAAGATATACAGTAGTTTTAGGGTATCCTTGCTAGTTTTGTAACTAACTCTCCTTTGTATGAACCCAAGTACTTTGTTAGCCTTGTTTCGAGCAAATACAGGAACTTCTTGCTTAACGTCGTGGTTACGTTCTTGTAAAACACAACGTTAACTGAATCAATTTCCCCATAAGAAATAGGTCAAATATGCTAGTTCCGTCCACCAACCTCCCTTTGCCCCATAAAATACATTACATATACTGTACATAAATTCCATGGAATTTTAATAGAAAATAAATACAGGTTGATAACCCTTTATCCGAAATTCCGAAAACCGAAAAGTTCTGAAAACCGAAATTTTTTTTTTGGTATTAGCCCACCCGGGCACAGGTCACTGACCCACATCAGGGCCTAGGGGGGCGAAAATGTAATAGTAATACGAAAAATTCCAAAAACCGAAATGCATCTGGCCCCAAGGATTTCGGATAAGGGATTGTCAACCTGTAGTATACATCCAAAAAGATAAACAAACTAAATTATTGTTTAATTAATAAGATAATACAATCATTTTGTATTGTACTCACTGATGGGCAGAGGTGGAGCGAGTGTGTGGTGGGTAGTGGAAAGGGGGAGGGTAGTACGCACTGTTGTGGGGGTTAGGCCTAGCTACACCATTGTCCACAGCACGTTCACCTTTCTCAAAATGGTTTAAAACCTCAATTTTCGTAGCAAGGCTAATGGTCTTTCATTGCTTCTTCACAACACAAGCATTAATGACACTTGATGGATGCTTGGGAGCCATTTCAAAAATACTTAAGCACGTACATATGCTGTGGAAGCTTAGCAAAGACTGGGGAAAAACGCTTGGGGACGCTGTGACGCTCTGCGAGAGAGTGTAGCATGCCAAGATGTGAGAGGGTGGTGCACCCTACAAAGTAGTCCGTGTTGGGTGACAACGGTATAACGAATCTGTCGGGTCATAAAACAACATTGTCGGTCGGAATCATGGGTATCTAAAGAGTAGCAACGTTATAACGAAACAACGTTGTCAGGGACAATGTTAAGCGAGGACTTACTGTAAACATTGTTGACTTGTTTTAAGATCCCTATTTATTACTCCTAAATCTTTCTCACAGTCGGATTTGTCTATAAGACTGCCTCTAACCTGGCATGCATATTTACTACATAGAGCTAACAACTGGATTTTTTAATCTTGTGCAGTAATACAGTAGTGTACATATTTATTTCTTGAATTAACTCTTGCAGGTACCCAGATAAAACCATGGAGGAAGTTTCTATATTGGCCCAGGATATAGGAAAAGACTACAAAGAAAGGAAGAAGAACAAATTGCAACGTACATTTGTTAAGGCATCTGATGCTGCTGGAGCTAGATATAAAGGTAGCAAAGTACGCTAGTACATTAAGTATATTTTGCAGTATGTAGAATAAGACAACTAATTACAGTACAGGTTGTACCTCTCGAGTCCGGCAACCTCGGGACCTGACCGGTGCCGGACCATTGAAATTCACTCTTTTCCTGGATAGATAGTGACTTGTCCTTATGCTTGGAAGCACTAGCACCACATTCTCTGCTTCATGGTCTCTTTGAAGACATATTGATGGGTTAAATGTCGTACAGTAGCTTCTCAAATTTCGCGAGTTTTTAATTCAACGTTTTTATTTGAACACACAAAAAAAATTAAAATTAAAATTTTGACGGCGGAAACTCGGATTTCGACGTGTTTGAACGGCCCACCAACGTTCAGACGACGTGCACAATCATGTAAACAGCGTCATTTCTCTTATGTACAAAAGATTCATTATTGTTTATGACTGAATGTCTTATTGATTAAATTAATGTTTATGTGTGCAAAATGGGCAATACAATTTATTAATAATACCATACGTAGAATATTAAAACACACAAGGAAATGAGACAGCATTTTTTTCGTTAATTACAAAACCAGTGACTGACTGGTTCTACATATAAAACTAAAGAAAATAAGACCCTGGTTGTAGCTGTAGTAAAATTAATATGGTTGTTTTAAGTAATGTTATTTAATGTTAATAAATGGAACAATAGAAGTAGCTAACGATAATGGTAAAGAAAAAAAGAGAGATTGCGTATGTAAGTGCGCACATGTGAAAACATATCATCATTACTCTATACCGTATAAGAATATGAAAGCAACACTAATTTACCATTCATATATATTTTAATTAATGTTTCTGAATTTTTTTTATTGAATTAATGTTTGTGTGTGCAAAATGAACAATACAATTCATTAATAATACGTGGAATATTAACACGAGGAGACGAGACGGCTGCCGGCATTGTTTTCGTTAATGCTTACAAAACCAGTGACTGATTGGTTCTACATATAAAACTGTAAAATAAGACCCTGATTGTAGCTGTAGTAAAATTAATGTAAAAAAATTAATATGCTTGTTTGAAGTAATGTTATTTAATGTAATAAATGGAACAATATAAGTAGCTAACCATTAATGGTAAAGAAAAAAAGTGAGACTGCGCGTATGTAAGTGCGCACATGTGAAAACATATCGTCATTACTTTACATAAGAATATGAAAGCAACAAACCTTAATTTCCCGCGGCTTTGTTGTTGTTGTTGTTTTTTATGGGGATTAGCCCACCCGGGCATAGGTCACTGACCCACTTTGGGGCCTGAGGGGCAAAAATTTAATACTCCTGTAATAATAATAATGCAGATAAAAAAAAAAAAGCTGCCTATCTACCTATTGGATAAACTAAAATCGTGCCGAACCACGGGAGTTTCCGGACCACAGAATGCCGGACTAGAGAGGTACAACCTGTACTTAGTTTTGAAAGACTTGGAAATTACAGTATTTTCACCTCGAGCAGGTTTGTAAACTATGTTTCAATATATCCCACATGTATGATATGGAGATTAGAATGATCTTTGCGGTTTCTACATTTTTTTCCTTGCCAGCACTAACAGTGTCTAACAATAAGTAAGTATTACTTGTGTCATTGGTAGTGACAGCAACAGTGGCAACTTCGTCATCTACTATACTTGAAGATTTGGCAAATTTCTGACGAGATAGTCTGAGTGGAGCTTGATTTATTTTTCTAGCTTTAGATATTTTTTGGGGCCATAGTGTTATAATAATGGTACAGTAAGTGGCCACTGTCCTGGATTAGTTGATGTGAAAGGGGATTCAGTGATGTAAATTTTCTATTTTTAATGGAGAAATTGTCTTGGGTGCCAAATAATGCCAATTATGACCATTTTATGGACATTTACAGTTGCTGTACTGTTTTATTGAACCATTAAATATGAAAATAAAATACTGTAAATTGATAATATACATAGACAGGGGTGGATCAAATACAATTGTATTTGTATTTTAATTGTATTTAAATACAAATACAATTGTATTTGTATTTTAATTGTATTTAAATACATTTTCAATATATTTGTAATTGTATTTTGGCACCCAGAAGAAAAAGTATTTTGTATTTGTATTTCGACACTTGTTAGTGTTACAGGCAATAGGCTAGTTTAAGGCTACTGCCTTTTGTCTCCTCCATAAACAAAGGAAAAATTGTGTGGACGAAAACACTTGAATTTGTTTTATTTTTGTAATTTTGTTTATTTTTATTACTGCTATTGTTATCTGCAAGCAGTAACGTTGAACATTCTGAATCTGTTGTGCATTTTTTCCCGCTTGTTGTATTTGGTCTTAAGCACAGCCTCAAACTGTTCATTGAAAATATACCGCTCTACTGCTTTAAGTTGGCAAATGCACTTCAGTCATCTGTCAAAAAGAGGTTGCATCCATTTCTGGAGAGGATTGATGTCATTGCCGCAGCTGCCATGGACCCCAGGTTCAAGTTGGCGTGGATTCCATGTGAGGAACTGCAGAAAGAAAAGATTTCGAAGATTGTGGATTTAATTATTGCTGAGTCTACCAAGGACTACAAGGAGAAGGTCCAGAAGGAAGAAATTCAAGAGAATGAGCTTTCCATGAGCATCAACCAAGACAAAGATGGCATAATTGCCAAACGACCTCGTCTCTTTGCCTACATGCCTCCACCTGGGCCATCGATGGCAAGCCCGTCAACAAACCACACTACAATGGTGAAGACGGAGCTTCAAACGTACCTGGAGGAAGGTGTTCTGCCTTTTGACATCAACCCACTGAAGTATTGGCGTGATATACAAAGCTTCAAAATTCTGAGGCACTTTGCCAAGAGCATTCTAGGCTGCTGTGAAACGTCGGCACCTTCTGAGAGAGTGTTTAGCAAAGCTGGTAATTTTTACACTCCAGAGCGAGCTAAGTTGAGCCCAGAAATCTTCCGGGCATTAATGATGATAAACTGTAATTCTGATATGTACGTATTGGGTTTGTATTTTTGAACTTGGAAATAAAAGTATTTCTATTTGTATTTTTACATCTTAATTTCAGAAGTATATGTAATTATATACATTTGTATTTTTGAATTAAGGAATAAAAGTATTTGTATTTGTATTTGTATTTTTGCATCTTAATGTCACAAGTAATTGTATTTATATTTGACCGCTAAAAATCAGTACAGTATTTGATCTAACCCTGTTAACGTAGAACATAAAAATGTTCTACAACCAAATTAAGTGAACTAACCTGTTTACATTATCAAAAGCTAAGGTATAAGGAATAAAATGGGTGGAGTGGCCAATGTCTTGGAGCAGATCAAGTAAGATGGTTTATTTATTTTTTACCGATACATATCCCCCCATATTCGCGAACTCCTTATTTGGGAATTCACTTATTCATAAAAAAAATTTATAAGTGACCTTTTATTCTAGATTTGCGATCAAAATTCATGTATCCATCAAGGCTATAAGAAAATTTTTTGTAATTTCTCAGAACAGCACTACCACCAGGAGGAGTTGTTTGTTTTTCATTTTTTTCCACTGATATTCTTATCATTATAGCAAGTACAGGGTACTCTTATTTTAAAAGAGGTGACAGAGGAGGGAGGGAGGACAACTCGCCACCCCTTTCTTGGGAACCTGCGATCCTTTTATAACAACAGTGTGCAATTCACCATAATTCCCATATTATTTAGGTTTATTTGATGCCATGTTGATAAAACATTATCGAAAAATATTTAATTTTCCCTCCAAAATCCCACAATCAATCACATATGAGCTATTGCGCAGTAATATATTCTCGGTCTGACGCGCTCTCACTAATAATGCTGCCAGCACTCCCCATTCTTAAGCATTGTTGTTGTCACTGCATAAGAGGGTTGCTCCTTACCATAGGCTCTGTCTTGAGCACTTAGTAATTAGTATTGTAACATATTTATTAGAACTCAATAAATATTATTGTCGTGTATAATGCGTTTCCATGTGCCCTGGTTTATTCATTGATCCGTTGTCTAAAGGCAAACGTAGTCAAATTGAGCCATCATGTGACACAGATCAGCTGGGCAATCATAAGCTGACTCCGAGACTTGTGTGTCAGGATGCTGTGACGTCACATCTGGGGGAGGAGTGGGTGGATGGTGACACAGTTACAGCTCAGTGCTCACTGCCTCCACACTTGTGTTAACTTCCCACACACACACATGCACATAAGTTTTCTTATTTTGTAGTTTTATATTTTTTCTCTTTACTTCTAAGCCAAATTAGAGTATTGCAAGTCTTACTCTTTTTCTCTGTACAGTATAAGAAAAAAATGAATTTACTGGGGTTAACTATAATATCCTGAGTGATATAAGTTATGTGTTTATTTACATACTCAGACTTGAATTATACGTAGGGAAAACAAATATTGGTTAATATTAATAGCTTTTATTACCCAAAAATTACTCCATATAAATATCAACACCGTCTCTGAAACATTGACAATTTCTAACCTAAAAAATGAAAAAAAAATATGTTAATCTTGGTAGCCATGATACCAAACCCCATTTTTTCCATATGGTATTAAATTCAGTATAGTATTCGCAAATTCACGATTCATGACGATTTCCAAGAACGTAACCCTTGGGAATATTGGGAGATAAGTATAGTATGTTATGCACCACTGCCATTTATGCTCATTATGATGATAAAATAGGATATATATGTTTACTACACACACACAAAAAAAGAAATAGCATCATAGCTTAAGATCCAGGACTATGCCTCTATAATCTTTCAAGGTGTAGCAGATTAGTGTACTGGAACAATAACACCGATTTTTTCCCATTATTTTCGATTTTTTTTGTTGAGACCAAATTGGCCATGTGGAATCATTATGAATTTTGAAGACTCGACTTATTTGAAAAAATAAATAAATAAATTATTTCCTTTTAAAAGGTAAGGATGGGCCATGTAGGGACTGGTTATTCCAGATTTACAATTAAATGAAGTCTGGTAAAGCA